CATCAGACATTTTACTTGCGTTTGCTTGGTGGGACGGTGTGGGTCCTCCGCAGTTTCCCGTTTGCCCCTCAACAGGAACTCTGCTTAGTTTAAAGCACTGTGAGGGGTAGATCTCTGCCATTTTCTCTGCTTTTCTGCAAACTGTCTTTTCTTCAAAGAAACAAGTGAGGGATTAGAGTCATTATCACATGCTGGTCTAATATGTCCATCTTCACCGCAATTATAACAATAGCCAGGTTTTGGCCCCGATTGCTGCGCTTTGTGAAGAGATTCGGAAGTGGACTTAGGACTTCCTAGACTTGCTGGTAGAAGACTGCTTCTGACCAGACTGTGCTCTGGTTAATGATGCTAACTGCTTTTGAATATCAGCTAGTTGTTGTGATAGCTGCTGCGTGATTGTGGTCAATTGATCAATTCTCGTATCGTCACTTTTAGTAGTGGATGCATACTGAACATGGGCTCCAACTCTAGCTTTTGATGAGCCTAGATGCTGCTTCATGCGTTGCGTCTTTGCAGCTTCTCTATCTTCCTCTGTCCTGAGTAGCAGTAAAAACTCTGCGAACGATGGTGGATGGGATTTACGCTGCTTTAACTGGAGTTCAGATATTAGCGTGTTGTCCCAGCAACCACGACAAAATTGATTAAGTAAGTGTCGATCAATGTCAACAGCTAACGCTCCCCCCCTTTTCACCGCTAAACTAAGTGCAACCTGCAACCGTTGCAAATAAGCAGATGGTTGTTCTCCATTATCCTGGAACAGCTCCATAAATTTTGCATACAGTTCGTCACCGTCTTGTACTGTTCCGTAGGCGGAATCAAGGATTTGAAGATACATTGTTGGTGGCGTTTCAGGTTTCAGGTGCTTCACCATGTCTGCGGCTGGTGGAAGAAGACTTTCGAATATCTTCCGAGAACGTTGAAGATCGGACACAGCCGGATCGTTTAAAAGAAGCGCTACTCCCGAATGCCAAGTTTCATAATCAGACTCATGCTGTGGTCTGGGTATACGACCTGAGAATGATCGGAGTCTCTGGGATGACAGATGAATGGCAGCATCATCACTTTTCATTATGTGTTCAACCACGTATCTCTGTACTCCAGGTGGATTCAGATCTGGAAGAGACATGGCTGGGAGAGACTGTCTGTTACTGGATCTGGAGCGAACATTGGGATCAGGAAGGATTGGTGGCACCTCCTCCTGTTCTACCCCTGCGCAATCTGGTGAATGCCTGGTGGTGACATCACTAAACGTTTTCATAGATTTTGAGACTTCAGTTTCATTCAGGGGAGACTTGACTTGTGGATTGACACTTAGTGTGGATATAGATTGACCCAACAGAGACATAACACCCTGGAGGACTTCTGCATAATCCTGCCCAGTCTGTTGCGCAATATTTTTCAAATCATCAAGGTATGCATCGGTTTTGGATTTACCCTCTAACTTAGCACACACCATTGAAAGTCCAGAAATATCATAAGTTTCCATCCCACTATGACACACATAAGTGTATGGTAACAGTTTCCTTAATGCAATCAAAGCATCATTAGATTCAAATTCAATTATCATACATTCATAGAAAATACTCATCGGTTCAGAAATGACTTCATTTTTGGAAACTTTACCATAACCAGTCAAAAACTCAACTACTTCCTTATCTGTGTCATCGTTTGTAACGTATTTAACCAATACCGAATTTGGGATTTTTACGCCTCGGTTTTCCAAAATTTTTGCACAATATGTCACTTTAAATATTCAATACACAGTCACTACTGTACGTACTCTCTCCTGGCTAGCTCGCTACTATTTATGTAGCACACATAAGCATGAGATCCCTACAGATCTAATGTAAGGAGCAGATCCAATATAATTAGGCTAGAATCAGAAGATCAAGGATTCGTTGTGGGAGAGAGTAGTCAGAGGCAACACGTTTGCTTTCACCATGTATTGAACCAATATTGCAATTTTGAATGGCCACTCAACGTTATGTACACTATTTACAGTATTTACAAATGCAAAAACAAGGAAATCACAAAACATTCACATTAGTCACATTACCCCACCCATAGTCCAAAAAAAACCCACGTTGGGAAAAATGGTGAAGGGAGGAAGAGTATATTGTCTGACCCGTTCGTTGAGGGAATGTGGGGTGAAAGTTTCTCTGGGCCACAGGAGCCCCCTACCCGCCCTGGGTTGAGCGACGGTTGTGATGCTGGGCTCCCCACGTCGGAGTAGGAGTAAAGTCTTTTGGGTTCAGGCACGTATCTGGGTTAGCTCGCCATCGTTCTGGAGACCTGGCCGGCTCCTCAATTGTCTCGCACCCACAACCCTAAATGAACAGGATAGCGGACGAGTAGACGACAGCTCCTGCAGCTCAGCTTTCCTCTGGCGTCCCCACCTCTCACTCTGCTACTCACTGATTACCGCACCTGTAGTTGAATGCAGCGCGCGAGGCAGCTCGAACGTGTGACGTCATCGCGCAAGTTACTGTGGAAATTCCTAGAAAATAGGGGTCAAAGTGTGCAATAATGATCCAAAATTTTTTTTTAACCACACTTTTACTAAAAAGTAAAAAACCTTAGAAAAAGCTTTCACTGCACACTTGTTCACTGTGATGCCCTCTACTATTGTGCAAAGTCACATTCACTTTTACTGTGGAAATTCCAAGAAAATAGGGGTCAAAGTGTGCAATAATGATCCAAAATGCACTTTTTAACCTGGATTTTAAAAAAAAGTAAAAAACCTTAGAAAAAGCTTTTACTGCACACTTGTTCACTGTGATGCCCTCTACTATTGTGCAAAGTCACATTCACTTTTACTGTGGAAATTCCAAGAAAATAGGGGTCAAAGTGTGCAATAATGATCCAAAATGCACTTTTTAACCTGGATTTTAAAAAAAAGTAAAAAACCTTAGAAAAAGCTTTCACTACACACTTGTTCACTGTGATGCCCTATATTATTGTGCATAGTCCCATTCACTTTTACTGTGGAAATTCCAAGAAAATAGGGGTCAAAGTGTGCAAAATGATCCAAAATGCACTTTTTAACCTGGATTTTTAAAAAAAGTAAAAAACCTTAGAAAAAGCTTTCACTGCACACTTGTTCACTGTGATGCCCTCTTTTATTGTGCAAAGTCACATTCACTTTTACTGTAGAAATTCCAAGAAAATGGGGGTCAAAGTGTGCAATAATGATCCAAAATGCACTTTTTAACCTGGATTTTAAAAAAAAAACAAAAAAACCTTAGAAAAAGCTTTCACTGCACACTTGTTCACTGTGATGTCCTCTACTACTCTGAAAAGAAATATTCTAAACTTTCACTGTACACTCTCAGAAAAAAAAAAATACACCAATATTCGTGTCCAATCTTTTTTTATGAACGGATTTGAGAAACCAGTAACCGTGACAGTAAGAAAATAAAAAACATGCATCAAAAGGTTGAGATGCCAGGTTATCTCAATGATTTTTTTGGACACAGGCAGCAATGCCATAACGTTTCTGGCTGTTTTGCTTTTTTCCGCTCACATGGGTTTAAGGCCAAGCACTCCTCATGGTACCATTTTTGGCAAAATCCAGGTTAAAAAGTGCATTTTGGATCATTTTTGCACACTTTGACCCCTATTTTCTTGGAATTTCTACTGTAAAAGTGAGCGTGACTTTGCACAATAATAGAGGGCATCACAGTGAACAAGTGTGCAGTGAAAGCTTTTTCTAAGGTTTTTTATTTAAAAAAAATATAAACATGTTAAAAAATGCATTGTGGCGGCTGATCCCCGCGGCTTCTCTTTTCTGTGTTACCGTAAGTAACAGCATAAAGCGGCAACCCGCTAGAAATGTGCGGGCCTCTTTACTGTTGACTCCGAAAAGCCGGACCTCTTTACCACGGTCCCTCACGCCCCCTTTCGCACCATAGACTGTAAATATCGCATAGTTCATCGACTTGAGTTTTAATCAATCCCGGTAAATTAGGAACTAGCGCCCTATTCTGACGTTTGCCCTACCTGCAGTTCGCAGTTTCTGCAGCGTGCCCTCAGTTTTTAACACAGTATTTCTTGCACATGGATGTATTGTATTATTACCATAGACTGAATATTCTTACCTATGGAGGAAACATGTCCAATAAAGTGTGTGAACGGAAACGTGTGGCCATTCTAATGCTAAGCTGGTAATGTGTTGTATCTGTTATTATTGATCTGTGGTTATATTCCAACACCATTGCAAAGCTACAAGATTAGATTGGCAAAAGTAAGAATCAACCCTTCATAACTGTCAACAAATGTAACCAAGCCTTTGTCAAATCATGTATTATTGTACAGCCCAAATCACAACAGCAGTCACCTTTGAATATATATATCTCCATCTGTAAGTTCACACCATTTGCCCCTTCCTACAAAAACATTGACGAGTGTACTTGTTTGACAATTGTAACTTCATGCACAGCCCCAAAGCAATAGTCTCAAACTAATGAGTGATAATTGAAAGCCCTTTTTAAAAATTCACATTAGCTAAAATGTATACAATTGAAAAAAGGTGAAGTCTTGCAAATGTAGACAGGAAAAATCCAAATAATTACCATTTCTAATGAAAATTAGCTTAAAACTTAGTCCAGTCATATCAATCCCTGGATCAATACTGCAGGTAAAATCATTGACACATGGGCCATAAAGCCATGGTTCAATCTTCAGACCACTGCCGTATTACTAGTGACGCTGCTCAAACCTTAAATCTATTTTCTACCCATGAAACTCTAAAAAATATGGGACAAGTTTGATATCCTTTCACAGGAAACATTTATTTTTTCTAAGAGTCACAATCACTCCTTTCCATAACAGGACAGTTAAATATTAACAAATTTACAGTCATGAGGAATGTAAAAAAAAAAAAAAAAAAAAAAACGACAATTGCCATAAAAAAACCCTGACCCATAATCCCACCCGGACGATGTCAACCATGGGGCACCAAAACAGTCGCGCCGCTGGTACATGCTCGATCATTCAGTGCTTCACAGTTCATCTTTGCCCTCTTGTGTCTGGAACAGGAAAAGTAGGTGCATTGAGGCTTGAGAGCAGGACTGGTTCTGAAATTGCTTTGTGTAAAAATTCATACCGTTTCATCTTCATCATCATCATCATCAGCATCTGTATTTTCTTCTTTATCTTCAGAGTCTTCCTCAGCGGGCTCTTCTTCCTCAGGCTCCTCTTCAATCTATAAAGTAAAATCAAGTAAAACAAACAAACAAAAACACATCTAACAAAACGTTACACTACAAAATGACAAACACATGACCACATTTTATCTTAGAGTACATTCTGTCTTAAAACCAGATTTGTCGATGGAACCAGACATTTAGTCTAATTTCAAGGGAGACATTTCTTGTATCTTTTTAAAACTAAATTCATTGGCTTGTCACAATCGGCAAATCTTGCTTTAAAGGCAGCCAAAAATCTCCTGTAGTTCACATACATTTAGCCAAATTTTAGCTTGTTTTTAAAGAACTTAGTCGGCATCACTTTTTGGAGTGAAATAAGTCTAGACATAGACGTGCCTGTTCGTCCAGCGGTACGTTCATGCTGAGTCGAAGCATGCGCTCTATCCTGTCGCCGTAGGCTTTCGTGTCGGCGAGCTGGTAACCTGAACGCAGCGTGGCGGTCTCAAACAGGACCACCGCCAGGTCTGATGCAGTCTGGTCCTCTGCGTTCTCCTGAAGAATAAAAGGTCTCCATGTTAGGTAAAAAAAAAAAAAAAGTTAAGATACATAAACGATTAACTGGGGGAGTAAATGTTGACATCTTACATTGACACGCTTGAGAATCTGCTTGATAAGAGGATGTTTGGGGTTTATTTCTAAGGTTTTCTTCTGGCTGGCATAATAGCTGAAATGAAAAAATGAAAATAAAATTTAGCACTTTGTACGACAATGGAATAAATTAAAAATAAATAAAAAAAAGAACCACTCACTTTGTTGAGATATCCTTTCCAGTCTGGTAGGCCTGGGCCTTCATGATCCTCTCCATGTTTCCGGACCATCCGTACTGACTGGCCACAAGAGCACAGGGCGAGTCTGTCAGCCTTTGAGACAGGACAGCCTTCTCAATCTAGGAATGGAAAAACAGGTTGGTATGCAAATAACATAATGGGTGGATGTAGTCAATAAAAATCTGTACCTTATCCTTGAGAGCGCTGTCCTTGAGCCAGGTGGTGAGGGGCTCAAACTCCTTTTCCAGAGCTTCCCGCTTTTCTTTGGTCTTCTCGCCCTCGTCAAACTTCACACCTTCTTTGGCGACGTTTTGGAAGCGTTTTCCATCGAACTCTGGGAGAGCCTGGATGCAGTACTCGTCCACAGGCTCGGTCAGGTAAATCACTTCATAGCCCTTCTTCAGCAGCGTCTCCACAAAAGGTGACGACTCAGCCTGAAGGGACATTTCACAGGATGAGTTCCAACAAAAACATGAATCTCTCATAAGCCCTGGTGCCAATAATGCCTTACCTCCTTCCTGCTGGTTCCAGCCATAAAGTAAATCTTATCCTGCTTCTCCTTCATGCGCTCCACATACTGCTCGAGACTGGACTGGACGGAGTCACTGTGAGAAGTCTGGAATCGCAGCAGTTTGGCCAAACGTGTTCTGTTGGAATGGTCCTCAATCACTCCCAGCTTGATGTTCGTTCCAAACTCCTTCCAGAACTTCTCATTGTATTGTTCCTCTGCCATTTTCTTGATCATATCAAGAGTCTTTCGCACAAGCTTTTTGCGGATGACCTGAGAAATAACATAAAAATCAGAATCTCAACTGCTCATTTTCAATGAACAGCATTGTGTGTCATTATACATCACTATGTGAAGCTCACCTTAAGAAGTTTGTGTTGCTGCAGGGTCTCTCTGGATACATTCAGTGGAAGATCATCGGAATCAACCTAATTAAACATAATCACTTTACAAAAACATCCACAACCAAACAATTAAAAACCTTTAACAACTTACCACTCCTTTGACAAAGTTCAGGTACTTTGGCATCATGTCATTGAAGTCATCTGTGATGAACACTCTTCTGACAAACAGCTTTAGAAAAATAAATAAGTTAACACATTATTTTGTGTTTAATTAATGCTTGCACACACACACACAATATTGACGAGTCTATACCTTGATGTAGTCATTCTTCTTTGATCCATATTCATCAAACAGGCCCCGCGGAGCTGCAGCAGGAACAAACAGGATGGACTTGAAGGTGACTTCTCCCTCAGCAGTGAAGTGGATGTGTGCCAGAGGGTCATCACTGTCCTGAGAGAGGAGGGTTTATTTAATGTATCTAATACAAACATGAACATATCTTATAATTACAGCCATTCTAAAAAGAAATGAATGTGTTTTGTTTGTAACTATTCCAGTGTAATAAAAGCCTATTTCGGGAAACTGTCCTAATGGAAGTTAACGCTCCACCCCATTATCAGGTCTTGTGTGAACTTCTGCAGAAAAGCTGCACCTCTGACGCTGCTCATTGCTTTAAATCACACATCCCATTCCCCCTTTTTTTTTTTTTTTAAAGCCAAAACAAATTTTTGGTCTTATAGACATGTGAAAGAATGTTCTGTTCATATTTTCTACCAATTTGCTTCTTGAGGCTTTATATCACCCTACTGCTTTTTTATCTGCAAGTCATCATAATAAAATAAAACCCTAGATGTGTGCAGAATCTAGGGTTCCCTCATCTGAAAGGTGCCATCTTTGTTTGTCCATCTGAACTGTCAAGATTTGATTTACACCATACTTCCCATTTCCATGTTTAACCAAAACAGTGCCGACACGTTCAAAGCTCATTTGCATTTCCAAACAATGTTTTAAACTTCATCCAAGACCTGAGGAGGTTCCTTGGGCTTCATCTTTCCTTATACTTTGGTCTACCATTCAATTAGGAAACTTTAAGGCAATTGTTCTACAAGGCTTACCTTAGAGAAAGTCTTGTAGAAGGCAGTGTACTCGTCTTCCTCCACCTCTTTAGCGGGTCTCTGCCAGATGGGCTTGATATCATTCATGAGTTCCCAATCCCACACGGTTTTCTCCACCTACAATCATGGCATGTTTAGGAAAAGCTTGTCGATTATGTAAATCTTTAATTCTGAGGAATGCCAACCTTCTTAGTCTTTGGCTTGTCCTTGTCCTCTTCTTCCTCCTCCACTTCAGCTTCATCCTCTGCAGCTTCCTTCTCTGGTTCTTCAGTTTCAGCATCCTCGTCGATGGGCTCCTCAACCGTTTCAGTCTAGTAAAAAATAAAAACCATTTAGTACATGTCAAAGCGCTTTTTCAAGACGTTTCCAGACGTGGTAAAAGAAGGCGCGAGTTACCTTACTGGCCCATAGATAGATGGGGAAGTTGATGAATTGAGAGTATTTTTTGACAAGGTTCTTAATAGTCTCCAGTTCAAGATAGTCTGAGGCCTCTTCCTTCAGGACCAGTCTGTTAAGAAAAAAAAAAAAGGCAAATTTAGATCTAGAATTTCAATCTGCGCCTTGGGTTAGGATTCACAAACATACGAGATAGTTGTTCCTCTGCCCAGGGTGTCTCCACGGGGGTCTTCAATGACCGAGAACTGGTTGGAATCAGACTCCCAGATGTGTTGTGTGCCATTGTTGTGCTTTGATGTAACAATAACTTTGTCTGCCACGAGGAAGGCAGAGTAGAAACCAACTCCGAACTGCCCAATCAGCTCAGAGGTAGACTGGCCTTCAGTTTGCATGTCTGTCATTTTGCTGAGAAACTCGCTCGTGCCAGACTTCGCAATTGTGCCCAAATTCTTGACCAGGTCTTCTTTGGTCATTCCAATACCAGTATCTGTGATATGGAGCATGTTCTTCTCTTTGTCAGACTAATTAAAAGTGAAAAAGATGGATTAAAGTAAGGTCAAAAGAACACCATGTGTGATTAATTGATAAACCTACTTTTATTTTGATTGTCAGCTCTTCGTTGGCAGCAAGTGCATCTTCATTAGTCAAAGACATCAAGCGAATCTTATCCAGAGCATCTGAGGCATTGGAAATCAATTCTCTGAGGAAGATCTTGAGGGGGAAAAAAATAAATAAATAAAAAACAGTTTAGAAATGCATTTAAGACACTCGTAAAGTTTATGGCTTTATAGTTTACTCACTTCTTTGTTCTTGTACAGGGAGTTAATGATCAGCTTCATCATGCGATTGACCTCAGCTTGGAAGAGGTGCTTTTCTGATTTTTCTCTGAGTTCTTTGATTTGAGAAGCATTTAAACCATCCAGCTGGATAGCCTCCTCCTCCCTGAAAATCAAAATTACATTTAGACGCAGTCATAAAAAGGAAGAATACAAAACGGGGCATTGCTGTTCATCAAGTATTAGTTGTGACCCTGTCCTTGAATTGTTTACACTAGTCCATGATAAGAGGAATTTGACTGAATCAATGTCACACTAAACTTAATAGAGCGCACCCACCTCTGCACCACCTCATCGTCTGTCCTGGAGCCATCCCTGCTTTTACCAAGATCTTCTTCTACTGTCCCATCCACATCGACTTCATCCTCTGCCCTTACAGCAGCTGGAAAAACACACGGTTACAGTTAGTTCATATTCAGAAACAGTTGATTGCCAAGAATCTCAAATTCACTTTTGCAATACAATGTATAACAACATTTTTGACAGCCTCAAATGGGTTCTCAAAGAAACTTCTAGAATGAATGACCACACTCAAGGATCCTCACACACTACACAGAGTTTTGGCATTAGAAATATTACACATCCATCGAAAGTCTTCATGCTGTAGTCGTTTTGACAGTAAAATGTATGGATGGGCAGGGTTTGAGCAGAAAGCTTGTATCCCCAGGGCTAACGTTAGCTTAAACGTGATGCACTACAAAGAAGCTTACAAAGAGCGTTTCTCTGTTACTCACCGAAAGCGAAAAGTGCAATAAGGAGCCCTATGAGCCAAACACGCCTCATGGTGAAAGGGCGCTGGAGGACGGTGTAGGAGCCGATCTGTGGAGACAAAAGCCGGGAGGACAGTGCTCTGTGCACAGGCTTTGAACGGAGACCGACTGACAGACAAGCTAACTCTGTGCTACCGAAAGAACCACTCTGTATAAGCACTAACCTTCGGCCAATGGCAGAGCACCACGCACCACGCTGCGCCAATCACAGAGCAGCGGCCTGTACATGCGGACCAATCACAGCCCTCTACATATGCCAGGGCCCTACACTCGTGGACACATGTGATTGGACCAGCACCACACTTCCGCACATTTATCTCGTCATTTAACTGAAAAAACATGTTCCTGTGTATCCTCATTTATAATCTTTGGTAAATCAGTGTATGCGACAAGATTACTGTAACGGCCTGCTCACTGGGCTCTGCAAACGAGCTGTAGAACATTGAAGTATGATCACATCAGTCCTGGTCTCAGGTCTCTGCACTGGATTCCTGGGGCTCAGGTCTTTCCATGGCCTCGCACCAAAGTACATCCGTGACTTGTTGGTGCCATATGAACCAAGGACTCTGAGAAGCACAGGGACTGGCCTCCTGCTGGTGCCCAAAATCGAAAATACACATGGGGGCTCAGCCAGCATTTCAGATGTATGCAGCTAAAATCTAGAACAGTCTCCCTGAAAATGAGAGACAGGCTTCTTCAATGACAGCGTTCAAATCGTTCAAATCCAAGTTAAAAACAGTTATTTTTAGATATGCATACAACTGAAGGATTGTACTTTTTAATGTGTGTTCTATATTGTTTTGTTAAGCTCTTTGAGTTGCCTTGTGTATGAACTGTACTATAAAAATAAACTTGCCATGCCCATTACATTTTGAGTAAAAAACATCAACATTTGATCATCTTCTTATCTTGATCTTCTTCATATCTTTTCAATAAACTGGGCCCATGTTCCTTTCTCATCACTGCCTCTTAAATTGTTGACCTCAAGAACATTTTGGAATTTGGATGCACCCAAAAGCCCACACCTAGCAATAACTTATTAACTATTCAATGTATATATTTATTGATGATTGACAAGAGACATGCGGACCATGGATCTATGATGCATACAAGATACAGTAGGAGAAAAAGTAGGTATCCCAGTTTGCCCAATATTTCCAGTCTATGGTTTGTCCACACGATGGCGGTGTTTGTTCGGATATAGATGTATGTTCGCTGCAGAATCCCCGTTCCCCCCAATGTATGTACTGTTGGCCTACTGTATTTGACAAAACAAAATTTGATAGGTGCAGTGATTCAGATGGAGGGTCTGTCACCTGCTCGCCTCACAGCTCTGCTTTTCTTTTGTTTAGATTATTATAGCATTTTTTCATCCGCTATGAAATTTATCTTACGTGAAAAGGTTGACTGACACGTGTACCTGTAATAAACTGTAATACGCATTTTTTTCTTCTTCACATTTTCCATCACAAAAAAAAAACATTAGACGCAACCCCCTCTCGCTTGCTGATTGGCTGATCTGTCCGCAAACCAGGAAGTGACGCCCCAAAGACAACACTCCACACTTGTCCAAATGTATAAGCCTGTCAAACCCATGCTATTATCGACAAGAGCCCACCGCGACCTATAAACAGGCGGCCATCTCTTGACAACCGGCCATGGCGCCCTTGTCCCTGCCCCTGGTGTCTTTGGTGAAGGCCCGGGACGTATGGCGGGGGGCGAGCGTCTTGTGTGGGCTTTTACAGGAGCCGACTGTTCACTCCTGTTCGTGTTTATGGACGCGGCGTTTCAGATCGCTGTCCCGAGGAGGCGATCAACTTGTGTCCCAGCCGCGAAAAGCCGTCAGACAGGCACAGGCAGCATCTCTGTGTTGCAGCCCCACCATAGACGGCCAGGAGACGGGCCAGAGGTTGTGGGAGATCTATAACCATACAAAGAAACTGACAAAAGGTACCAAAAAACAAGACGTATGCACTGATTTGATTAGCAGGCCTATATTTGAAAAGTGTCTCAGGTGGTTTTATTTATTTAGCACATTGCGTTGTAAAACAGTTGTAAACCACACAACTCATTACAACGCATTAGTATACCTTCATTAATGAGCCATATGAAATTCAATGAACTCTAGTCTTGTACAGCCCTAAATCACAACAGTAGTTATCTCGGAGGACTTATCTATACATGACATATACAAATACAACATATGAAATATGTTGTATTTGTTGTATGTATTTGTTTAGACCGAAGTTTTTAAAAAGTCATCATCCAATGACTAATACCTGATAGTTACTTGCAGAAAGGACTTCAGCCAGGGCTCCAGAGTACACCCATGCTGTGTGCACATGTACCCAGAATTTTGGCTTGTGCACTAAGCTGCAATCTCTATTTCATGGATAGCGATTACAGAGATGGACTTGTAAAGTTCAAGTTGAAATGATATAAAGTTAGGCACAGCAGTATCCAATAATGTTTGGAGCCCCACTTCAAGCACTGATAAGGTTAAAGAATGTGTGATTGCCTTTTTGATATTTTCTTCCAACCATAGATATAGATCATGACATAGTAAAAGTATAATCATGGTTTTATTTGATTTCAGGCTTGGTACCAGATATTGCCTCCACTGATCCGGACACTATATTTGCCAACAATGAGATGAGCCTCGGAGACATTGAGATCTATGGTTTTGACTATGACTACACTCTGGCCTTTTACTCGAGACTCCTGCACACCTTAATCTTCAACATAGCAAGAGATATACTCATCACCCAGCACAGGGTAAGGCACACACAGAGAAGTAATGCTAATTCATGTGTCTTTAAGCTTCTCTTGTGCCATTAGTACCCTGAAGGACTACGGGAGTATGAATATATTCCTGATTTTGCTGTAAGAGGACTGCACTATGATGTGCAAAAGGTAATCTTATGTTTGAATTCATACATCTATGAAGACATCAGTGTTGGGTGTAACTTACAAAAGTAACTAGTTACCGTTTGAAGTAACAAAAAAATAACAAATTCAATTGATAATATATTACTAGTTTGATCAAAGTTACTCACTTGCATATTAACTTTTATTAATATTAATGATAATACTTATATTTTGTATTTGTATAGCACCCTTCAAAACAGTTAAGTTTGTGCATTTACAATGATCTCCCACTGAAACAGGTGACGTTATTATGAAATCTTAGTGATAATCATTTAGTAACATCAGTCTCCCCATAGTGCTTTGGACTGAAAGTAAATTAAATTCCATTACACTGCAGTAACTAGTAATATATTATAATCTTATATATTACCATTTTAGAGTAACTTGCCCAACACTGTGAAGCATTATGATCTTTGAGTAATTTGTATTTTTAATATCACAGGCTCTCCTTATGAAAATAGATGCTTTCCACTACATACAATTGGGAACTGTATACAGGTATAGACATTACATTATTACCACTCAACTAACCACAATGTTTGTGCATTGGTTTCAGAATAATGAGAAGTCAGGACCAGTGCTGCAGCGATTGAGAATGAAACATAATTTGATATCTTTTGAAAAAGAAAAACGTTCTCAAAGTGTTGTAATAAACTGGAAGCTGAAAGACGCGAACATGTCATCATGATACAATATCTGCATTTATTTTGCAGGGGTCTTAATCCTGTGCCAGACCAGGAAGTAATCGCCATGTATGAAGGCTGCCATGTTCCTCTGGACATCATGAGCGACTTCTATGGAAAGGTGTCTGTATTTATTATGTGATAAATTAATGAAAGGTGCACTGTTATTCTGGGCTCAGGGGTCTTTGGAGGGGTCTCTGGGGCCCCCTGTTTGTCTTTGATGGCTTAAGTCATATAGTCTATAGGGTTTTTTAACTCTAATTCCATACTGTGACCATTACAAAACACTGCAGCTACGGAGACAAAGCAAACACAGCTAAATGGTTAGTTACATGGTGCACCTTTCACATTTTATATCGTACAGTACTATAAAACATGTTAATACTACTTCTAACGACTGCATTCCTGATATTTCAGAGCATACATGGTCACACCATGAAACAGTTTATGGACATATTCTCTCTTCCGGAAATGACCCTGCTGTCCTGTGTCAATGACTTTTTCATGAAGCACAATATCGACTACGAGCCAGTTCACCTCTACAAAGATGTCAAGGTAATAATAATAATGATAACAATAATAATAATGACCTTGACAAGGGGAAAATTGTGTTATTGTTTTATCTTTTATCCTACAATATTTAAGATGATACAAATTATTGCAATTTTTTTGTCTGTCAAAATTATAATGAGACTATTTACTCATTATATTCTTGATATCTTAAGCAGTAACTATATGATGAATCATGTATAAAAGGTAAATCGCGCCAAGGGCCTTCCCTACCCCTATCCTACCACAAGAGGGAGGTGTAGATGTTCTTTCTATTCAAACATTTGAAAATTATCAGCTGCAAACACAGACATGTGATTGTAAAGAATATACATTCACTTGAGGTTGTACCAAAGCTCTTTTATGGGAAATACTTTTGCTTTAAAAAGCAGAAAACACTCTTGAGTTTTTTGACATCATACTATTAAAGGACTGAGACAGGAGCTTTTAGACAGAAGGCCGGAGGCACATGTATGTGCCAGAAGATCTTGATATTGGTGTGGATCATGGATCTACTGTATAATAATAACTGGATGGGGCATTACTAGCTTACAGCTTTCCCACCCATGGGCACAGGGGGCGCCCGTGGTACTGCAGACTAAATTCACGTGGGCTACCCAGAAAAAGTCCCATAGAACTCAATGTATATTAAAACAGCACGACCTCAGCTGACAGAGAGTCTACAGCTTTCATAAAGATCGCATTTTGTGGGGATTTTAGTGTCCCTTGTCATCCTGCACTTTTTTTCTTCTTAAATCCTTCGGTTTTCTTTAAATCCACACTTTAGTGCCACAAACGCATATAAATAAAAACTTACTTACTTACTTACTTACAAACTCTGCTCCCTGCCTTCTCCCTCTGGCTCCCCTCCTCAGCTGCTCTGATGATCAGCTCTGATTGGTCAGAGCGCGGCCGAGCCCCTCTGTGCGCGTGCATTAAAGCCACACACGCACGCTTGGCGCGACGCATTATGGGAGATATCTCTCATAATGCGTTGCGCTAATCCACTGCGCAGAACCGGGAGGACCAGACGATGCCCAAATATAGGCGAGTTCAGCTAATCTCCCGGTCTCCATGAAGTCCCATGCGCTACTGAGCACAAGCCATTCATTTGAATAGGGCGCCATCTTGGATCACCGGGGCTTGGTGTGGATGTATCTAAAAATAATCTCAAGGTCTGTTCCTGATGAGGGAATAATCTTGTCACATGGTAAAAACAAAAAAACAAAAAACTATTTTCTGATCCATCCATGCTAATACCGGTGTTTGGCACAAACATGTAACTTTGCCCCTTGGGTCTAAAAGCTCCTGTCTCAGTCCTGTGATAGTATGATGTCATTGTACCAGCAGTTTTCAGACATTTAAAAGTAGTGCACATTGTTATATTTTCATCAATAAAATTATTATTTACAATTGCTTTGTGCTTGTGGCTTGTAATTTTCAAATATAATAAAAACATCTATTCTTCCCTTTGGTCGTAGCATAGGGAAAGGGCAGGCCAATAGCATAAATACCCTTGATACTTGTTTCACCATATATGTTCTGCTGAAGATACTGTATTGTTAAATTAACTCAATTTTAAAGGCCGCACAAATGTGTAAAATTTCTTGTTCAAATGACAGCCTCTGGTTCATTTGCACTCATTTTAACAGCAATTATAGCCTCCTTCTTCATTAGTAATTTACTCCCAGCTACTGTAGTGGGCAGCGATACTCGGTCCGGATCAACTTCCAAAAGCAAGTGTCTAATATTAGTCGCAGAGCTGCCCCCAGCAGTCAGTGCCTCTGCTGCTCTGCTATTTTTCACAGAGAGGTCCAGTGCGGTGCCCCTTTGAAGACCCCTGGAACACAGGCCTGTCTATTGTGTCTGTCACTATAAAAAGATGTAGAAAGATGGCGGTCATTTAGGCATAAGCGGCCTGCCCATCTCACGTGTGTCATTTCAAGGACAATGACAAGCCTGAGTTAACATCAATTATAAACGCTGTCTGTCTTAATAGCAGCGCGCCTTATAGAAGTTTGAGTTGTAGCTTTCTTAAAACATTCCTCCTAAAAAGCCAAACTCCCTTTCCCCAGGTCACACAGCGTGAATATAGAAGCGGAAAGTTTGGCTTTAAATCACCTAAGTAACTAACTTCAGGGCCCGTTTTTCATTTTACATTTGTATGCAGCCTTGCGCTTCTATTGTGCTTTTAAGAAAACTGTTTATGTACAAAGTGTTGCTACTGCAGTCGCATACTAATATTGAGCTACTGAGGAGGTTGTTTGCGTCTCTCCTCACAGGAAGCTATTCGAGATGTTCACGTGAAGGGCATCATGTACAGAGTGGTGGAAGCAGACATCGGCAAGTGCATTTTGACAAATGTCGATTTTAACCCTTTAATGTTCAGTCTTTGAAGAAAGCAATGTGGTTATTTTTTTGATTTTCTAAGACCTTGGAGCACTAATAACACAAATAAGTTGTTTTATTTTTTTTTTATGGAACCCGTAGTTTTGTTTTTATTATAGACCTTTACTAAATGGTTGAGATGCAGTTTGATGGTAAAAGTGCCTAAAACGTCTTTACCTCTGGCCAGGGACTAGGAATGAAATGAGCTTGTGGCTATGTCCGGTCTGAACAATACATTATTGTGCAATGTCAAATAAACAAATAAAAAGAAAGAAAAATATATACAAAAAATATGAATTTATATCAATATATAAACAAAAAACTACTGTAAGATGCCCCAAAGAGGAATATTTCAGTTTTTTATTTTTTATTTAACCTTTATTTATTACCAGGAGAACCTCATTGAGATTAATAAACTCTTTTGTATGAGAGTCCTGCACAAGAGGCTACACACTCACCATACATTTACAACATAACAAACTACAAGCTAAAATAAAAGCTAAAAGATTGAGATAAAATACTGAAAATAAGAAATATTTGTACAACGTGCATATAGTAAATATATTGGCAAAAATTTGATCTACCGGTTGAGGAATTAAAGGGCTAATACTCTGCAATTGTATGAATAAAACACTAAGGTCGTATTTGCACATCTTGATTCATCATCCTCTGTTGCTCTTTTAGACAAATACATTTGCTATGGCGAGGAGAGCCACGCCGTGCTCAGGAAGCTGTCGGAGCTCGGGAAAAAGATGTTCCTCATTACCAACAGCCCCTTTGACTTTGTGTAAGTGCAACACAGCGCTCCCGTTCGATGGTTTCCTTAATTAAAGGTGTCACGTGTGGATGCTCTAAATATCAAACAGCTACTGCGCTAAACTAACAGGACAAAACACCGCCGCTTGTGTATTCGTGAATGACTGGGAGCAGCTTGTTGTGGACGCTCGGTCACACTGAACAAATGTAACGTTTCCTGGATACAAGGGACGGCTGCACGCGGCGGATTTCTTATTAACTTTGTGCGTTTGCTCGCGTTCAGGCTTTTAAAAAGTGCGTGTAATTGACTTTTGCAGGAACCGAGGGATGAACTACATCGTGGGGAAAGACTGGAGAGATCTGTTCGATATCGTCATAGTGCAGGCTGATAAACCCGGCTTTTTCAACGACAGGAGAAAGTAAGTTTATGCTCCGAAAAAGCTTTAGTCATCCACCCAAGGTCTCATCGCACGCACATTTTTTATTCATGGACAGCAACGAAGCCTTTTGTGTAAATTGGTTTGTTATACCTGCATCTGCTGTTGTGGGAATTTTCTATCTGTTTTTTTTTTCTGGCATGAATTATGTATATATATATTTTTTTGCAGGCCATTCAGGAGGGTGACGGATAAAGGTGCCCTGCTGTGGGATCGGATCCACAAGTTGGAGAAAGGGCAGATTTACAAGCAGGTATTTCCTCATTGACTTTTCACACGGTTTTTATTTGTTCTTCAGCTTGTGCAAATGACTCCTCTCCTAAAAAGGGTTATATGTGCCAAAAAAAATAGTACAAAATGTATATGGAAAGGTGCAATTCGCCTTGATGTCCTGTTGCTATGTTTTTCAATAGTCCTTGAGCCATCTGACGGAGCGCTTGTGTTTATTTTGGTCCCAAAGGTGAACGTAAATATTTGTCAATGAAAGGCATGTGAAACGCTGTCCCAAGATGTTTTTTTCCCTGCGTGAGAAAAAGGAGAAGCTGATCTTATTTTACATCACATCTCACATGTTTTGAGTACAAACAAAACACTATTTCCTGTTTACATTTGTCTGTTATTAATTAAGTTGAGGTACAGTGGTTTCTTGTTTATAGCAGGGGGTTACGTTCTAAAAATAATCCACGATAAGCAAAATCCGTAAAGTTACAGCTGTATGTTTTAAGGCTGTAAAAACCACTATATACACTTTTCCAACCACCTGAATTCACGACTGCTGAAGTGCGTTCACAAACATTTCAAACCGGTTTGTTGTAGGTCTGGGCTCTGCTGTAGCTGTCAAAAGCCGTGCATATACTGTGAGATACTGGTGCGGAAGATCCACCTTGTTATAGGAACCATTGTATACTGTATACTGGGAAGTAACAAGTCGCAACTAATCAATTTAAAACAAAAAAAAGTATTGTTTTTTGTGGAGAGATTTTATGATAATTCTTTAATGAAATAGAATGAAATAATTTGTTTTTGAATGTTTTTACAAAGTATTTTTAATCAAACAACCCAAGGTGTAAAAGTCATCCCTATGAAGATGTTTTCCAGGAGCAGCACTTGAGCTTTGTTTTGGTCAAATGTAGAAAACAAATCTCATTATCACTGACTTTTCAGGATTGAAACAACTAACCACTGATCGACCAACTAATCAATATCATCGATTACAGCCCAAAGATATAGAAAAAGATCAACAATGGGGTGCAACGTTTGACCTCCCCAGATCAATTATTCTAGTATTGCGAACAGTGAAGCAAAGGAAAGGCCAACGATGAATATGTGGTGTTCCAGTGCATACAGTCCTATCACGTCTCCAAACGATAAGCCGAGACCTTATTTGACCTGATAGGTAGGAAGGAAGAATGGACCGAATTCATTTCCAACAGATTCTGCAAGTGAACACCGTCTGTGAGAATAAGAGGAGGCTTTCTGCAAATAGATAATGATCCCGAACACCCTTCAAAAGCCCCGACGGATCACCTCAAGAGTCACGAGCGGAACAAGCCTTCGCTGTCTCCTGACTCCATCCTCGGTGAACACGTGTGCATTGGCCAATTATCGTTTATTTTTGAAAGACTTTTGTATGGAAGAATGGGCAAAAATCCCCCAAACTAGAAGCAAAATACAGCAGTGTAAAAAGGGTTTGCAGGCTGTGTTACTTGGCAGGGGTGGGGGGCTGTCAGTGAATTTTACTGCTGATGGGAAGATTCGTTCTATGGACAGTGTATAGAACTATTTGATATATTAGAAATGACTTGAATTGTATAATAAAGACTAATCTTCTGTCTATGTTTTTATTCAGTTAGTTGTTTTTTTACAGGGTACAGGACAATCACGTGTAGTGGAAAAAATCGATAGCTTCAGCGTTTGAGCTATGACCCTGGAGATAGTTGTGATTCCTGATGGACGTCCACTAATCACCATTGAGCGCGACTGATTTTGTTTTTTCCAACACCTGCTTTACCTCATGTCCCCAACAAAGCGCCTCGTGCGTAGGGTGCCGCGGCTGCTTTCAGATACTTGCCTGTGGTAGAAGGAGCCACAAAAAGACCCACACGTATATTTGCCGCACAGTGACGGCGTTTTCAGTCATAACAAATACTTCCATTAATCGTTGAATGAAAAAATATAAACTATTAAAATGGGTTTGCATTAATGGCGTTACCAACACAGTTAATAACCCGTTTCACTGACAGCACTAATAAAAAGAATTCATGTCGCCTTCAGTCATAATTTCTTCCATTTCTTATTGCAGTGTTTTTCAACCAGTGTGCCATGGCCAGTAAGTGTGCCTTGAGAATGTGTCTGGTGTGCCTTTGGAAATTATCCAATATTACCTAAATTATATATTTTTTTGAATAAAAAACATGGAAATAAAATAATTTGAGAAGACCATAGACTGTTTATATTAACGGACGTAGTCACGCCTATCTCCGCCAATCAAAGAAATGGGCCAAAAATTGGGCTTTCATGGAGCGTTTCAAAATTGCCGCGGGGGCTGGAAAATGTGAAAAAACGCATCTGCGCTGCGCCGGCACGAGCCCCATTCATTTAATGAGTGCCTTCAAAAATTCACAGCAACTAAACTAAACTGGTCCAAAAAAATTCACTCCCCTCAGCATTGACACACATGTGGAACAGAGCTTTGGGCCAAGAGCCAACTTTTGGACCATCCTGTAAAGACGTTTTCGAGAGGTCAGAAGATACGTACATTAGCATTGAATAATTCTTATTCCGGGTCCACCCCCATTGGCCCGGGGTGGTATTGCAAGCATGTCAGCGCACGTCAATGTGGCCGTTTTTTAGCCGGGACCCGCCCCCACTGGAGAAGACAGGAAACATGTTTTTTATGTTTGGGTATTCAATACACTCGATCATTATAACTTTGCATTCTTAATTAGGATGGTGAAGGTTCATTTTTGCAACATTTTCAGCTGGCAGTGTGCCACATAATTTCTTTAAATGGAGAGGGTGTGCCACAGCTCAAAAAGGTTGGGGAACGCTGACTTATTGAATAATGGGCTGTGCAATAAATCACATTTGAACATCTGGTCAGTTCCATCCTGGGCTTTTTAGTTCAGGAAGAAATGTATCTATGTTTTGTTTTTTATGGCGATGATGAAAAAGTTAGTAGTAAAATGCTGTTTTTTATTATCAGGGAAACCTTTATGAGTTCTTGCGGCTCACTGGCTGGAGAGGATCCAAAGTGCTCTACTTTGGTGACCACATTTACAGCGACTTAGCGGTAAGAAGCACTGCTCTTCATACATCACACAAAACCCACAAGTATGAAAAAGGAAGCTTTCAAAGATTTCATTTTAGATAGAGACTCTTTTTCCTAATCTTAACTCCGGCTATATAAATCTCCTAAGCCCTCTTTAGTCTTAAGGTTGGGCACCGAGGAAGTCTTTAAAAGTCACTAAAGATGATTAGAATCACGTTGAAATTGTTTTTGTTCATTAAAAGTTATTTCACACCGAGCCATGAGTCGTCACAGATTCGTAAAGACTTCATTTGTTCAAGTTCAACCTCTGAAGCACCTTTGAAATGAACAGAAAACAACACTATAACTCAGACCCGGCCCGCAAGACCATTTTAGCGGCCCTTAAATGATTTTCAGTTATTATTATTATTAACTTGCAGCATTGATGTTTATAGACTTTAGGGCAAGTTCAAGTACAAAATGTATATGGGAATGTGTAATTTGCCTTCATGTCCTGTTGCTATGTTTTTCCAAAGTCCTTGAACCATCTGACGGAGCACTTGTGTGTATTTTGGTCCTAAAGGTGAATGTTTGGTGGTGTCTATGTGAGGCAGGCATGTCAAACCCAGGCTCGTGGGCCAAATCCGGCCCGCAGGACAATACTCAATGGCCCTCCATAAGGATTTTTCATTATTATTATTATTATTATTTTTATTGTTAATTGCTTGCAGCTTTCCTTTCTATGGAAATCCCTTCTATTCTTTCGGCCCCGACCAATTCCTATTTTGTATTTGTGCTAGAGTTAGAGATTTTTACAATAAGAATGGTTGGTGGTAGCTGGAAATAGACCTTTGACAAATACCCATTTTACTTGATGATATACAGTATTCAAGAAATTATGGCAAAAAACAGTCAAATTGAAACTATTGGTTTGCACGTATAAAAGTAGAATACTGCAGTGACGCAATTTGTCAATTTAATTAAGAAGTCCACGCTGAAAAAAGACGAAGATAAGTCAAAATGAAGAAGATAATTATACTTTTTGGCCATATTGAACCATATACAGCTAAAATGCCATTGTTTACAGAGATAATGGGAAAAAAAAAACATCTGAGACAAAAATATTAAGGCCACAATATATCAGTTATTGAACGATGAGCTTATAAAGTAATTATTGTGCCCGGATGGTCTCGTGCACAGAATACACTCAATCGCAAAAAGAGCTTTGTGTGTTTCATGGTCCGTGAAATGTGCCGTATAAATAAAGATGACTTACTTACCAGCTGACTTTACTGACTTACTGAGGAAGCATTTAGTTGGTGTTAATAAAGAACAGAGCTGACGCCTCTGGTTGATAGCACAGCGCTGGGGCGGCCGAGTGGCTCCGATGTGTGTAGTCGCGTGTACAGGCTTGTGTGTGTGTGAGCGGCATATGCTATCACAGGATCGGTCCGGGCAATTATTTAAATACTGTAGTTGTCAATTAATAATACAATTCAGTTGTGGATTATTAATATTATTCCATCATAGCATTCATTTTTACATATGACACTTCAACCCACGAACACTAGCTTATGACAAACAAGATTCTTTATATATTTATCTGCATATGTCTGACTTGCTCACAAAGATCCATGTTTAAAAAAATATTAATATTTAGGGTATTTTTGAAGCACTGTGGCGTGTCACTTTGACCCAAGAATAGCACAAGGAATGTTCTCATTTGAGCTTTGTTTTGGTCAAATATATAAAAAATCCAATATTTGCAAACAACTGAAGGCTTTTATTATCCAAATAATTAATTGATGAATCAAATTAATAATTGTCCAACTAATTAATTATGAAGATAATAATAGGTCAATCTTAAGTAATTGTATGTGTCACATGTGTGTGTAGTCAAAACTTCTGGTATATCTGGTGTGAGACAAGGCATCTGATTGGTCAATCCTTGTATGGCTCATATCAAAATGTAAACACCGGGATCATAGAGTGCACTAAACCACATTGAGTGTGACACAAACAGTTACTGAGCTTGGAGTTTACTTTTCAATGTAAGTCAATAGGAGTTGGAGCAAAACTTCGTTCATGAGTCCTTCCCCATTGGGCTTAATCGAGCTAGCCGGTTAGCATCTATATACAGTCTATGGCTGTAAGATTTATATTCCACAGCTTCTCAAAATATACAACTCACCAGCAGATTACCCTTTTTTAGTCTAATCCAAAATGAACCATGTTACAAAAATCCTTAGTTTCTAATCAGGAAACAGTGGAAGCTACACCTGCCTCCTTTTCTTTGAGAGCGATGAGGCTAAATCAGTGCATAACAAAATAAAACCCTTGAAACTTTAACCACCGTACTTACGTTGAGCTAATTGAACACAATTTTCTTCGATACAGAAAGAGAAAGGGAATTATTAGGTAAGAAAACCAACATCAGAATAGCTGTAGTGCTGTAGTGGCTGTAAGCGCATGATTTCATATTGCTTTTTTTATTTTATTTTTCTCCGGTTTCTTTTGTTGTGCAGGATTTAACACTGAAGCACGGCTGGAGGACAGGTGCCATTATCCCCGAGCTGAGGAAAGAGATTAAAATGATGAACACAGAAGAGTACGTGCACATGACGACCTGGCTGCAGGCGCTCACCGGCCTCATAGAGCAGATGCAGGTTCGTGACAGACTTTCACAATGTGGTGATTTTGTCTCTGCTCGCACCTGTTTATCCATTTGCCCTTCTGATACAGGTACATCGGGATCCGGTGTCTCAGGCTGTTGTCCAGGAGTGGATCCAAGAGAGGGAAGCCATGAGGTGACCATTGCTACAACAGAAAACTAGTATATTTTAATGGAATGACAAAAGAACAAGAGCAGAGAGGAGATACGTATATAAGAAAGTCCTTTATTCGTAGATTTCAATGTCATTGTCGCGCACATTACAGAAGAATATAAAGTAGTATAATATATAATTGCAGTTGGTTCAGAGGTATTTACAGATGTGTATGTTGTACTTTAGAAGCAGAGAGTATGACCAGAATAAACAATAGTAATAATAGCACAATGTCACGATTTTGAATGTTATTGTTGAACGGATTGGCAGAAACTTCTGTCAGGTATGGCGACAGTAGCAGTTTGTCACCACCGCGTATGTGGAGAAAGAATAATGATGACATGTGATGTGAGTGTCCTGAAAAGCACTATATAAAACCAATGTAAGATAAAAGTGACCTTGACCTTCTCACTCCCCTTGTTCTGAGTGGATCGAAAACACTCACTTCCTGATTGACAACAATGGACGTTTCCCGTTGGTCCAAGTTTAAGCTTTGTAAAAGATGAATAGTGGAACTTGAGACCTGCTGTTGCATTGTCAATTTAAAAAGAACAACCCAAATATCCCGTCTTGAGCATGTGTTTTTGCATTACTGTAGTCTAGATTGTGGTAATGGACTTTCCTTGTTTAATCTATATTAGTAGTGTGGCTATACCTGCATGTGAAAGCCTGCCCCTGTCAGAATCTAAGCAGGACAGGGCCTGGTTTGTATTGTGATGGGAGACCCTAGGGTGAGGGATGTGATGGAGGCCGAGTGCTGTTGTTGTGTTCCTAAGTTAGACACTTAACCCACATTTCCTAGTATGAGATTTCTCTGTGCGTGAATGGTTGGTGGTGGTTAGAGGGGCATAGAGTTGTAGCCTTGCTTCTGTCAGAACAGTAACGTTCAGTGTTGAATACTGTCTTTGTCAAATAAACCAATAATACATACAATTCAAATTAGGATGGAGGAAAGATTCATTTGTGACTTGGATTTTTCAGATGTATTAGAAATTGTCAGAAAACTATTAGAATTTCAGAGAAAAAGCCTACTGTACATTCAATGGCAAAGTTTGTCATTGTCAAAAACCAATGAATTTTTTTTCAGAATCCTTCGGCCTTGATTTCAAACATGCATTTGAACACACTAAAGTTCTCTTGAATGTAAAAACCAATCATTTTCATGGTTGTAAACACAGCTATATTTCAAAGTATCATTTTGTTCTTGATATAACCTGCCGTTTGCTTTGACAGGCCCCAGACAAAGAACTTCTTCAACGCTCAGTTCGGAAGCCTGTTCCGGACGTACCACAACCCCACGTACTTCTCTCGCCGTCTCTCCCGTTTCGCCGACATCTACATGGCGTCCATCAGCTGCCTTCTCAACTACGACCTCACGCACACCTTTTTCCCCCGCCGCACACCGCTGCAGCACGAGTCCACCTTCTGGCCTCCACAACGACCCGACCGCGTTACTGAAGAGCCGTGAAGAGCTCAGATTTCTCTCTGTTCCGCATGCAAGCAGTCTTTTTAATCAAATGTAAGTCCGTAACATAGCTTTACATGTATATAGAAAGCTTATGGGATCCAAGTCTTTTCACATGCTGTTCTTCAATGCTGCCTGTAGAGGGCGCTCGTTCTGCACCTGTAATAGTAATACTGTTTAAGCACCACGAACCCTGCTGTGCTATTTTTACATCTGTAAAATTGTGCAATTGGTGTTACATTTCCCTGCTCAGTGCTTTGCCTTAACTGAGAAGATATTTCACTCTAGGATCTTTGCTTTTTGTGTGAATCTTTGAAAAAAAAGGCCCTTTTACATTCAGATAGTTGTGCAGAAACAGATGTGTGTGTTGTATGTGTGAGGAGGGGAGCTGAGAGTTTTTGGTATTTTTAGATTTCATGGGAACTGTCATCACAGGTTTGCTGCTTTTATTTTTGCAGAGAATGCGTGAACTGTTCTCGCATTAACTATCGCAAAGGATATTTTTAGAAGCAGCTAGAATAAGTAATGGCTTAAATTATTCTGAACACTTCGTGATGTTTGTTTATTTGGGTGAAGTGTATTTTTATTCATTATTTATTAAAGCCTCCTTGTTACTCAACTAAGCCCCGTTTTCTTCATGGGTTCTTAACAATAATGATGTACTGCAACAAATTCATAATAATACAGTTTTTCTATATGGCACCTTTTTAAAATGCATCACAATCATGTAAAGCTAGACAATCATGTGGCCATACTTTCATTATGATCGTAGTAGTAGTTGTAGTAGTAGTAGTAGTATTTAAGCAGTTTTACAATGTAGTTTTATCAACAAACAAAGCTCAAAAGGAGATAAAAAGCGTCTAGGTGCCTTCCCCATTATCAATACTACATTTAACCGACTGCAAAAAGATTCACATGACTTTCGTTATTTTTACCATCATCTTGTTGAAGGAAAAAAAAAACAGCAGTCGTTATCAATTTATGTTCACTATATTTCATCGCAATAATAAATGTTAAAAAAAATAAAAAATAATAATAATAATACTATGACCTGTGGTGTAATGAGAGCTGGACCCCTCTGTGTCTGGAACCTATTATTAAGATCATACAATCAAGATGGTGCAGAGGGTACAGTTGATTTAAGGGGAAGGGGTTAAATGTCTAGAAATGTAGCTCGGCACCAAATCTACACAAGCTTTAAAGGTGATCAGTAAAATCTTCAAATCAATTCTAAAAAGCCCAGGGAGGGGGGATGTGCTCCCTTCTGTAAAAACTAGTGAAGTCAGGCTGCCGCGTTCTGAACCAGAAGGGATTAAGAATCAAAAACCAGAGAGGAGTGAAGAAGGAAGGACCATTGATGACTGATGTTTTTAATCTTTGAGGTGAAAGAAACTTGATTGTGTGTTCTTTTTTTTTTTTTCTTATGTAGAGTCGAGAATCAAAGATGGCACTGCTATTGTATATATATAGCTGTCTCGAACGGCCTTGAAAAAGTGTTCCGAGATTACTACTGTCGTGATTTAGGGCTGTGCAGAAATAAATAGAATTGAGTGGATATTTCGAACAGATCAATGTCAATGCCGATGTCAGCTTTATTTGTATAGCACATTTACTACAACACCAGCTCCTCAAAGTGCTTCACAGGCACAAAAGAACAGCATAAAATACATATGAATGCATGTAAAAAGTGCAGATCAGTTGGTGTTAAAAGCAGTAAAAATGTGTCTTTAGACTAGATTCAAAAACCTCCAATGAAGACGCTCTAAAATACAGAGGTAGACTATTCCGCAGTTTGGGCGCAGCAACAGAAAAAGTCCGGCCTTCTTGAGTTTTTAGACGAGACCTGGGCACGTTCAACAAAAGCTAGTGATGTTTGAGGTCAGGGAGTCGACCCTATAGCCGGACAGGGTTGGGTTAGAATCATGTTTTTTGGATGATTTGGAGGTGCTGAGTTGCAGATAGTTCTGAGCCTTCCTACTGTTCACATCATTAAAACTGTACAACTCTGCAGAGACTTCCAGACTCGTTTGGTCTCAGCGGGAGAAACGTCTGTGTCGTCTGCATAGTAATGGAAGGACACGGACTGGCGGACGGAAAGAGTCCTCTCGTGGTGACCGGCCGCACACGTTCTGTCAAAAAGATGAGAATGATGACCGAAATGACCGATGTCGTGCTGTATCTGTGATTCCAGACTCGAGCTGATGTAGTAAAATGTGTTTGACAGTTTCAAAAACCTCATTGGACTCTAAAATTATTACAATCGAGCACTCTCATTGGTTAAGAGGAAGGTCATTTGTGACTTTGAAGAGGGCTTTTTCTTTGCCAATGTTTTTCTCAAGGATTTGCTTTCTCTAAAACTTTAGGCTGTTTTGAAATTATTTAATGTGATCATAATAAAATATAATTGTAATAATATTTAAGTAAAGCAGACCCATCCTTCGCACAGTGACTGGTTTAAAACACTATAATAAAAACAATGACTTTTGTGGGGAAGGCCAATAGGTAGGTTTGTACATTTTTCCATTGTTAGATCAATACAGTTTATCTTATCTTAATTTAATGCAAAAGTAGATCCAAACGAGGAGAGGAGGGATAAAAGCATACATTTTGTCACAGAATCAATTATCAACGGTAAAATGGGGCGACAGTGGTTCAGTTGGTAGAGCATTGGCCTCTGAGCCCGAAGGCTGTGGGTTTGAGCCCATCACGAGACCTTCTCCAACAACTCCACTGATGTCTGCTGTCGTTGTGTCCTTGAGCAAGACACTTAACCCACTTTGCTTATGAATGTGTTATTGATGTGTATGCATCAAACTGAAATTTCCCCATTGTGGGATGAATAAAGGACTTTTTTTCTTCTTTAAATCATAATAATCATTACAGTTCTGTAGTCAGAATTGGGCTGAATGTTTCATGTGAAATTGCATGGACCTTAAACATAACCACAAAAGTGTAGAAAGATACAGATATAATCGTTCAAATACACAAAAGATATGTTCCGATTTTATCCAATGTTGTCGTGAACCATTTTGTGTCCAACTGAAATATGGGAAACCCTGTGAGATGCAACCCTATTTACTCATGCCTGACCTGACCATAGTCCTTTGTCCAAAATCCCCATATTTAAAACGAGGTACAAATACGACACTTTTACCATTTGCTCATATCCACTCCGCAATTATCCTTATATGACAGGGTTATTCAACATAATCCTGGGAAATCGCGTTAGGCCTCATTTGGCATATTGCACTTGGATCTTTATATCCAGTGACACCAGGTGCAGCCTCTTAAAACCAGAGCTGCTGCTTTGTCTCATTCATGATAAGATCGCCCACCCGCCCACCCAGCTTTGTGACCGCAGCTGTGCTTTCCACGCGGTCACACTTGTCCCCCCGCCATGGACACCAACAGCAGCGCACCGTGGATCTCTGGAGGAGCCGAGGAGACGCTGGCCACCGTCTCCCCCACCATCTTCCCTCGCATCGGCTACAGCATCATCTCCTTCATCATGTTCATCACCACGCTTCTGAGCGTCTTCAACAACGGCCTGGTGATCGTAGTCATGGTCAAGAACTCGCTGCTGCAGCCCATGAACTTGCTCATCCTGAGTCTGGCCGTGTCTGACCTCATGATCGGCCTGTGCGGGTCCCTCGTTGTGACCATCACTAACTACAGAGGCTACTTCTTCATCGGGAGAGGCGCCTGTGTCTTCCAGGGATTTGCGGTCAATTATTTCGGTGAGTTGGGAGATGAAAGTTGTCTTGGGGCTAAGGCTGTTTTCTCGGGGCCAAAAGGTGAAAGCACAAAAGTTGGAAGGATATTGTTTTTCCTCCAAGGCTGTTATGGTCTTACTGTGGTTTAAATGACTTTTATTCCTAGAAAGCGCTGTCCATTACTGTATATGGGTTGCCGTCATGTGACATCACAGCATTCCAAACAGCCTATAGATTAAAATGATGGTGGAGGGCAGTGGAAAAGTTAGAAGCTATCTTCTCTGTAATTCCTGGGCCATTCCACATGAAAGAAAAAAAAAGTTGTTTTTTATCAGCACATATCAGCCAACTATGCTAGGTGTCCAATATTCAAGAACACAAATATATACTCATGATGCTGGCCATTAGAAAGGACTTTCAGACTCACTATTCACGTAAGAATAATATGCTTTGTAGATCTAATCACTATCAAATAATAATCTTTTTCTAAATTTATTTCAAAAGTTGCTGCTTTCCCTTAGAATTCTGTTGGCACCTGAAATATGTATATTTATTGGACATTCAAAAAACGTGTGAAGCTGTGTTTGTGTTTTCATATGTTCTAATTACCTGTTTTTAAATTGTATTAATTTAAGTAACTTTACTGAACAAGTATTTTATGGTGTAAGGTTTATGACATGTTTCACCTTGCCCAGGGACTGCAGCTGGAAACTAGCTATAGAGCACACACTGGCACATTAATGGGACAATATGTGTACTGCTCCTACCGAAATGAACTCATAAAATAAAAATAAGATACAATACAACTCTACAACATAAACTAAACCTATTGGCCATACCTTACTATTTTTGTTACTGTATTATCGTAATGAATGTGAGGCCTAAAGATTTAGCCAAATGGATCAGTAGAAAAACATAAAACCTCTCACAGAGTATGACAATAATTATGCTTTTTCACTAGTCTGAAGCTCACATTTAAATGGTTATTTCAGTAATCCGAACAGTACAGCAGCAGATTTACTTTAAATATCTATCAAAATCTGTTTCAAAGTCCCAAATATTCTTTGCACTTTCCAAAACTCAATAACATGTATTTCTCACATTCATTTCTCAGTTCTGTTTTTAGTATATGTCAAATATAATGCTCCGTGACATACATTTTAACACAGATGTCCGAACTGTATGTTTTTTTCCCCCAGATATTAATCCTATTTCCTTTTCTATAAAACTCATGCTATCCACAGCCCAGACTTGAAAGCACAATCCATTTCATCCATTTTGCAGCATCTCCCATTGAAAACAGCTTTCTCCTGAGCTTCTAATGTAAACATATCTTATTGGAGGATTGACTTCCTCCTTCTCTCGTCCAGGCCTGGTCTCCCTGTGCACGCTGACCCTCTTGGCCTACGAGCGCTACCATGTGGTGTGCAGGCCTCGCGCTGGCCTGAAAATGAGCATGAGGAGGAGCCTGATGGGGCTGCTGTGCGTGTGGGTCTACTGCCTGTTCTGGGCCATCACTCCTTTGTTCGGCTGGAGTGGTTATGGGCCGGAGGGGGTGCAGACCTCGTGCTCTCTGGCCTGGGAGGAGAGGTCCTGGAGCAATTACAGCTACCTCCTCCTCTACACACTGCTGTGCTTTCTGCTGCCTGTGGCCATCATCATCTACTGCTACTACAATGTGCTCACCATCATGAACCAGGTAAATCTGAGTGATGTTCGAAGGTTGGCGTCTTTCTTTCTCCAGTGCAGAAATTGGCTTTTTGTTTCGACACTCAAAGCTTCACATGTCATAATTCTTTCACTGCATACACAGTTGTAACCACAGCTGCTCTGAGGCGCACTGACAGAAGCGAGGCAACCCGTATGTGCCGTCGGCCCCTCTGACCACCACCAACCATTCACACACACACCAGACACATTTTAGGCAATGTGGGTGTCTTGCCGAAGAACAAAGCGACAGTTTGGCACTTTACAGCCGCAGCCCCCCCCAGAAGTCTCCCATCACAGCACTAACCGGACCCTGCCTTGATTAGCTTCAGAGTGTTCTGGCTTTCACATGAAGGTATAGCCATATTGTTTTCAGATCAATACATTAATCAGTTCTTTTACTACTAATAAGAATAAGATTAAGAGATCCTTTATTTGTCCCACGGAGGAGAAATTTCAGTGTTGTGTCACAAGTTACAGACAGTAGGAATGGGTAGCACACAACACAAGATAAATGATTAATAGCTCAATACTAAAATATCATTCAAAAAAATACAATCTCTAAGTCTAGCATAAAAAGAAGCATATAAAATCTCATCTCTTTAGCATTATAAAGTAAAATAATAACCAAGAGCGGTAAATGGTAGAACAGGTTTCTAACAAAATAACCCTAATCCATATATTTAAAGACAACAAAAATGTTAAATTATTTCTGGCCATTAAAAACTGTATTGAAATTATTCAATTTGTATCTCTCTGTAAGTTTTAGAATGTGAAATATTGCCATAGGTTGACCATTTATGATGAAATATTTATGAATAATACACAATTATTTTGCCTGTAACTCCCCATGCTGCCACCAGGGGGACAATATCACAGAAATGCGTCGGCCAAAGCCCTCCACACATCAGGGTTATACCATGGCCTTGTCACTGACTGGACTTACTATACTCTCATTAATACATTTATTGATTTCCATTTTCCTTCCAGCTGAACCAGAGTGTGGAGCTGCAGGGTGGCCGCTCCAGCAGGCAGGAGAACGAACACGCTGTCACCATGGTGCTGTTTATGATCGTGGCCTTCTTCGTGTGCTGGCTGCCCTACACGGTTCTGTCGGTGGTGGTAGTGGCAGATCCCGAGCTCTACATCCACCCTCTCATCGCCACCATGCCCATGTACTTCGCCAAAACCAGCCCTGTGTACAACCCCGTCATCTACTTCCTGTCCAACAAACAAGTAAGGACCTCACATCGCAGGCCGCACCTTGTTAAAACTTGTCAATAGCTCGGTTCCATTAGGATTCTATCGTGCATGTTTACCCCCTCACTCATTTCGACTTTGGGTAGTAACAGATTTTAGCTGTTACTGCGACAACACATGTTCCACAAAGGCCTCCCGAGTTTGCAGCTCTCAGTGTGAAGTGAGAGAAAATATTCTTGTTTTGTGCTGCATTTGAGGCGTTGGAGGTCACCTACCACCTATCCTCGCCCATTACTTTGAACTTAATAGATTATTTCAAAAGGGGTTTTAGAACGAATACTCAACTTATTCAATTCAATTAAATTTATTCTTGTATAGCCCTAGTAGTTATCTCGAAGGACTTAACAAAACCACTGAATTCGCCGACACAGACCAGAGACTCAACAGTTCAACACAAGAAAGGCAACGATAAAAATCCATAGAGCTATTGGTCCATAAGGGGCAGACGACCAATCCATAAATGACGATAAGTGTTGTTGAAAAATCTGGTCCAGAACATTTCTGTTTTTAAAGGGGATGTCAGTAACTTAAATTGTATTTTTTTTTGTATGGTTTCTGATTATGGGACACTGTACTATTATGTACGCTAAGTACTTTTTCAACAGTTGGCACAATCAGCAAGATTTGATGGATTGATGGAGAACAGTTGAACCAATGAGGGGCCTCAAGTATTTCAGTTAATTTTGACCTGGAATCTTGATCAGGAAGCTGCAGGGGTGAGCGTTGGTGGGTCTAAACAGTCCTTGTCGTCAAAAAGTTTCACTCTCTCTTCACCATTTGAAAATAAACTGACATTCACTTTAAGCTTACCATCTCTGCACTGCAAAAAGTGATGAAAAAAAAGATTAAAAAAGCAATCAAAATTTGAGCACATTTTGACTGCCTTATAACAAGATTTGGAACTGTCTCCCTTGGAATGAGAAAATAAAAAAACAGTTCTTGAAATGAGACTAATGGCTTTGTCCAATTGGCAAAGGTTGGTTTCAAAACAGACAGATAAATTAAAATCATAAATTAAAAGATCACTCAATTCAAGCATGTATTACCTCATAATGTAAATCTAAATACAGGTCAAACAGTGTCCTTTTTGAGTTGTTTTGTTGTGTCACAGTTCCGCGACGCCGCTCTGGAGATGCTGTCCTGTGGAAAGTACATCCCTCACACTATTGCCACCTCCAACATCAGCATGCAGCCGCTCCACAGCGAGAGACGCCTGCCCCTGACCAGGACCATCCACAGTAAAGTGCTGCCGATGTGACACCCACACCCCCCAGACTGTGGAAGGACTTGAGCCCCACTGGCCACCGCTGATCAGCCTGGACCTCAGCCTGAAGCCAAGAGCGACCGACAGACAAGGCATTTAGGAAAGTGAGGAGAAAGGAGTTCACCCAGCCCCTACCGGAGGGTAAAGGGTTCTGAATATCTGAATACACTGCAAAAAGTGATGAAAAATATGTTAAAAATGGCTCAACTTTGGCAAAATGTATCTTAATTTCTGCACATTTTGACTGCCTTAACACAAGACTTGCCAATGGGACAAAGCAAAATGATGTTGTTTTAAAAATATACAATAAATGTGTCCCTTAGAATGAGAAAATATAGCAACAGTACATTAAAAGAGACTAAATGGTCAGAATGTAATCAAATTAAGATATAAACCAGTCAATTGTAAGTAATTGTATCATTTTTTGCAGTGTAGATAGTAGCTTGACTTTTGATTCAGAGGTTTTGTATAAGTGCTGTAAAGAGGTAGCCTTGCAGATTTTGATATTGTAGAAAAGCCATGTATAAGAGCTGGTAACTACTGTATGTCAATCCTTAAATGTAGAAAGTTCATTGTGTCTTTTTTATGTTTAAGACTTAGAGGGTTCTTTTACCAAAACAAAGAGTGTATTTTAGCTGGTTTTGCTTAATTACCTGACATGTTTTGGCTTGTCATCTGTCTCTTATCAGCTGTTGTTCCCAGATGTGGCCAGTCTCCCCCTGCCGCTCTGTGGTCTCAGTGGAGACGCGAGTCCCATGTGTGAGCCAAGATTTTTCCGTTCGACCGCCTCCTATATCATTTTTCCAAATTTATGTTCTTCCGTTCCTACTATTTTTGCATTGTCCCAGTCCGTTATATGATCTTCCCTTTCGCGCTGCTCAGATATTGCTGATTTGAGGTTTTCTTGAGTTGCTTTTTCCTCAGTTGATCCTGTTAGTTTCGCTGCTGTTTCTTTTTCCGCATTTCTTACGATTATCCTTTTTTATTCTGGGGCTTCCTGTTTCTCCGATCTAGGTTTTATTTTAGGTTCTGTGAGCGATTTTATATATGAGATAGTATTTTTTCTTCAGTTGTATCCTGTCTTTTAGTCTGGATTGAGGATTTGTGTGTGCCTTTTGTGTGTTGCAATGTTATAAAGTGTCTCCTCTCACAAAAGTCTACAAGTAACTAAGCAGTGCTAGCTTCTTTACACTCTTTGTCATATTAAAAGAACCTTCTAAGCCTGGGTCAATATTGTTCCTGTATCTCAAAGGAGTCAGGCTAGGGCAATATGGCAAAAAAGTGAAATATCGATTTTATTTCCTGCTTTGGACGATTTTGAAGTCACCGAAGACAGACTTTGACCTCAAAAAGATTGTTTGATCTTTCCGCTCAACTTCAAGTTTCAATTTTTTTTTAAAAACTTGTTTTCCTTTATGCGTATTATAAAAGTCTTGTACGGACTGTGCTGATATTGCAAGTAGAATTCATGTGCTGCTCTCATAATATCCTTCATTTGATTTCACAATTTTCGCATTTTTCACAAATTCGATTTTTTTCAAAAGCCGATTAATTGCCTAAATTTGAGTTATTGCCCAGCCCTACAGTGGTGGTAAGATGTTGCAAATGAATACACTGCAAAAAGTGATAAAATATGAGGTAAGAATTGAGCACATTCTGACTGAATTAAAACCATATTTTCCAATGGGACAAAGCCATTTAGGCTTAATTCAAAATCAGTTGCTCTATTTTCTCATTCCAAGCGAGACATTTCTTGTATCTTTTAAAAACAAGATCATTTAGCTTTGTCCCATTGGCAAATTTTGTTTTTAGGCGGTCAAAAAGTGCTGAAATTAAGAAACATTTTTGCCAATTTTTAGCAATATCTTTAAACATATTTTTCACCACTTTTTACAGTGTAGCCTGAACATCTATAATAAAGTTCCAGTTATGTTATGTTATGTTTTATGTAAACTCCATGTTGTTTTTATTTTTTCTAGGGCAATGTGTGCGATTGTGGGAAAGTAGCCAAATGGGCCGAGAACTGGGGTAAAAACAACTGCCCTTTTACGCCTTTTGTAAATTGGTTGTAAAAAGCTTTCTGCATTTCAATAATTCATCGCATAAAGCTTGCAGGATGTGATTTCTTTGACCCCCAGTGTTATTTATAGACTTTCCTCGGAGATTGTGCTGGACAGTGCATTCCTCGTCTTGAGAAAATTGATTTTACATAAATTACATTGTGCAGAGCCTTCCATATGCGCAGTGTTAAGTTAATACTACGACTTCTCCCACACCACACGTGCAGTCGTACGTAAATATGGCAAAAGCACAATTGCATTTTTTATATACGCCTGCCCCAAATACAGCCTTTTGCTTTTTTCTTTCCAACATTTTCAAATACGTTTAATTTTGCTGCAGTGTCGACGATACAGGAATAATTTCTTTCATAAGTACCTGTGTGGATACTGGCTTTTCTCAACGCAATTACATAAGTGGAGGAGGGGAGACCAAATCTTACAAATCCCCTCTTTTTTTTGTGTGTGTGCGTGTGTGTGTGTGTGTGTGTGTGTGTATGCGTGTGTGTGTGTGTGTGTGTGTGTATATGCGTGTGTGTGTTTGATAGAGGTGCTAATACAAATCTTTTTTTCTGAGTGTGTTTAGGTGTGTGTGTGTGTGTTTGATAGAGCTACTAATACAAATCTCTTTTTCTGTGTGTGTGTATGCGTTTGTGTGCACGTGCGTGTGTGTGTGTATGTGCAGGTGTGTGTGTGTGTGTGTGTTTGATAGAGGTGCTAATACAAAGCTTCTCTTTTTCTATGTGTGCGCGCGCGTTTGTGTGTGTGTGCGTTTGTCTGTGTGTGAGTGTGTGTGTGTGTTTGATAGAGCTACTAATACAAATCTTCTCTTTTTCTCTGTGTGTGTGTGTGTATGTGTGTGTGTGTTTGATAGAGCTACCACTACAAATCTTCTCTTTTTCTCTGTGTGTGTGTGTGTATGTGTGCGCGCGCGTTTGTGTGTGTGTGCGTTTGTCTGTGTGTGAGTGTGTGTGTGTGTTTTATAGAGCTACTAATACAAATCTTCTCTATTCTGTGTGTGTATGCGTGCGTTTTTGTGTGTATATCCGTGTGTGTGTGTGTGTGTTTGATAGAGCTGCTAATACAAAAGAGGAAGTCATTTGTTTGAATCAGTTCTGCATTAGCCACAAAAGCACATAATTAAAACAAGACAAATTTGGCTCCGCTCCTGTCTTTCTTCACTTTGTCCATACTCACAACTGCGAGCTCTCTATTCAGTGGTTTAAAATGGGATTAAAAAAAGATTAAAGAAAGAATTAAAGACAGAATAGAATGAATTTGAAGTCACTTTGGTGCATAATCGTAATATTTTGCCATGTTTTTAATTGAGCTTATGTGGGTTGTGTTTGCATGTGTTTCATAATTTAGCCACTTAAGAGTTGAGAGAGCAGAATCGGGAGTTTTGTATATTATCAGACAGCGAGAACATTTTGTCCTGAAAGTGGATGTGTTAGAAGCGTGACTGTGTATGAATGGGTAAGAGCACACTCAAAGCAGCAGCTCTTGTTCTGAAAAAGGTCTCTTGTGGTTGGATTTGGAAGCCTGCCCTTTCGCCTGGACACATGGAGTTTTCATACTCCGGATTACAGATGTCACGTTATCAAAATGCTGTTTATCATGTGTGAGAAAAGACATTCTGTGTCTGTGACTAAAAAACAGTGAAATACATTGACATTAAATCTGTCTGTGATTACTATTCTCATTTTTAGTGTCTTATTGAGATCTAATGAATCACCAATACCTCAATTATCAACATTTTTACTGCTACAGAACTTAGTAAATATTATTGACAAAAACTTTGATGGTTAACGTTGATCATGAGCAAAAAACACAATTTTAGTTTCCGTTCCATACAATTAAATGTATGAAATTATGCAACTTTATATACTGTATTTCTAGATGTAAACTGTACGCCTTAAACTAGGTTTCAGATCCCCGATGATGAAGTCCGATGCCTCCTGTGAGCTAGGATTGAGTTGTTTGAAAGGGTTAGGGTTAGGTAGGCCATCAGGAATCTGTGGTGAAGTCACAATAAATATAAATATGTATTGTTTTTATTATGTACTATCTTTCCACCTGAAGATGGATAGAAGTAATAATACAGTAATATAGTGTAGATGACTCCAGGCCACGGACGCCGGTGTCATAAGGTTATAGCAAAGCAAAACCACATCACTTTATCTCTAAATGTATTTATTACAAAGAACTTTGTAGATATCGTTGATTTGGTTCAAGTGTGAAATTGCTCTTGCTGACTCTTGTTGCTCCTCGCTTCTTTTCACACTCTCCTTGTAAATTGTTCACATAGAACTGTCGCTAAATAAAGTGCTTTTCATTCCTCAAGCTCTTCCTGAAGTCTTTCATTCAATGTCACCCACTTATTGTGGAGCAGCGTGAGGTGTTTGATCAACCTAATATATTTGTCTGCACTGAAAAACGCATTGTGTTGATCTAATCCCAGATTTGGCGTGGTCTGTAATCTTTCTTCACATTTGAGGCAAAGAGCATTTCACACTGTATCTCCAAACAGGATTACATAATGTCATGCTATAATCCCACAGCATGCTCGCCTCATCTCCGTTCCACAAATGTGGAAGTTGCAAGTCATCCATCTGGCCTTGTTTATGCAAACCATGGTGACACCATCTTTTGGACCCCAGGGGCCGGACCGCTATTAACCCGGCATTACTCTGGCTTTTGCTTTCATCTGCAGAGTCCGAATAGTCTTTTACCTATAGTATAGTATAGTATAGTATAGTGCATGTATTGTACAGTACTGTATATACTGTATACAGTAATCATCAAATGGACTGATTCTGTATCAGCAAGACTCCCTCTGGGACAGAAGTATTCTGAAAGAGACATTGTAGTTGAAGCTTGTTCATTTGTTTGTTGATTGGGATCAATGTTTGATTTAACTCCAACTTTCTGGCACAGTCTGTAGATCTGGATTTCAGCTTTAGTTGTAATATTAGTTGATGTTACACTGGAAGCAGCGGCTCCAGAGGAACTCTCATATCTGTCACTTCATCATAACCAAACTGAGTTACCTGGCATTGGTGGCTTTAGTTTATTTGTTTGTACATTTATATTTGTTCACAGTTGAGATAGGAAGTTTGATGGATTCATTTTTCTGAGAAATGGGCTGAGGTTTTGCTTGATCACTAATTTAATGTATGTGCTGTTGTTCTGTTGTTTCTCTCCCGCTCTGTCAAAGTGGACACGTTATCCACACGTTCACATAAATATCATTGTGTGTTACATGATAGATATATTGTAAACACTGTAATAAAAGTAGAGATGCCTCCTGGATTTTTCACCACTGAGAAAACCTGAAAGCTGTCTTGCCTGTCGTGCTTGATCAAATTGTATCATGTGCAATTCAGCCCCGTTATAAGATTTCAGCATTGTATACAATAATAAACACATATAAAGAGCCCACAGATCTAAACTTGTCACTGCTCTCTGACAAACAAAGTGTTTGATTTATTGGATACAAAAAGACAAATAACGGCAACAGTTTAGGACAGTCATGTCAAACTCAGGCCCGTGGGCCAAATCCGGCCTGCACGAGGCATTTATACATATATTTTCTCAGGAAAACAACCATATTTAATTTATTCTACTTTTTTAAAGTTAAATATAGAACAATTTGTTTAACTTTATATTTAGTCCAGTTTTGGTTAAAACTAAACAATAAATCATGTTTCCCAGTGAAACTCATGTCAAATAAAATTAATGTCAAAATACCTTCATGATAAAGAAAGAAAATCCCTCCTATTCTTTTGGCCTCTGACCAGTTCATACTTTTTAATTTTGGCTCCTGACCAAAATGTGTTGGACAGCCCATGTCTAGGATGTACTAGTTATAGCCTGCTCTATAACTTTGGATATAACCACTGAACTACAGATGCTTTGAATTAGCCGGTGGCCATCTTTCCTCTCGCCTCCTCTGAGCTGGACCTGCACAGCTTGTAATGAGTGTGAAGGATTAAGTCTCCCCTGTGACCTTCTCCCAGTGCCATGCGATAATGAAAAGGGCGTCTTCTGTGCCAAAACATGTCCGAGCTTACGGTTTGAACCATAAATACTCTTGTTCAAGTTCCCCAAGTCTCACATTAGCAGAAGAAACCGGACTATATCCAGGACTTCAAAATGCTCTGACTGGAGATGAGCGACCACCATCCCGCTCCGGAGAAACTCAACGCAACCGGCTCCCGAACGTACCTTGAACTTGGATTCATCGCTGCGAACACCTTTATTCTCCTGACCACGTTTTTGGTCGGAATCGCGGCCAACGTCTTCGTCGTGTTTGCCGTGTGCAGGCAGAAAAGCTTACAGACTTCCAACAATGCGCTAGTGGTGAACTTGGCCATCATAGACTTTCTCAGATGCGTCATCGACTGCCCGGTCTTGCTCCGGATCGTTTCGCCGTTCGATCGGAGTGTCGAAAGCGTGATTTGCGACGTACAAGTGGTCTCTTTTTCCTTCAGTTGCTGTATCCAGATGCTGACGCTGGCTTGTATAAGTGCGGAGAGATACCAGGCCATTTCGCAGCCGTTCAAAACCACACAAAAGAGAAAACGCATTATGGTGTGGATCTCTTTAACCTGGATCGTTGCAATTCTAGTTGCCTTGATTTGCTTGGTGTTCCTCAAAGATTCTCCGGTTTATGTGAAATGCCAAGGAGTTGAAAGGAAAGAAATGCCTCAAACAACTTACGACACATATGGTCTCTACATGGTGCTGCCTCTGTGGGCGGCTTGCTTTAGCATCATTACAGCTTTCTACGCTCGCATTTTTGCCCTTGTCAGATCGCACAACAGGAAGATTTTTGACAAAGGCATCATTATCAAAAAGAAAACGGAACTTAATATTATCCAAGTGGAACCGATGGCGACGCATGCTGCACAGAAATCACCCAGCGACGCTTTGATGACCCCCAACCTCCCACGATGCGTCTCTCAGGGCTCACAGAATGAGAAAGAAAACACATTGGAGGTAATTGAATTGGAACCGCCTTGTAAGAAAGCAATAGAGGATGGAGGGAAACCTTTGGAAAGTGACACGGCAGCAGAAGATGCAAGAGATGGCGTTAAAAGCTCAACGTTGCGGCAGATTTCGAACCATCCGGACAATCTAAGCAAAGGAAATCCAGAAGAAATTGTGGAGAATGACAAGTCGATTGCAAAAAATCACCTCAACGTTCAGGCCGTCGCTCAAGAGACGGTTCTGGATGTAAATATGACGCTTAATGAGAAGGTAGCAGCCAATCTAGCGTCTCCCGTGACAAATGCAGGGGCAGAGGATGTGGCTCAGAATATAGAAGGAGCAGTTTGCATGATGCCCTCCAAAGCCACCCGGGAAAGAGCCAACAAGAAGAAAGAGAGCAAGATGGCCAAACGCGCCGGATACATAATAGTCACGTTCCTGCTGTTCTGGTTGCCCATCATCACCACCATCGTTCTCAACTTTGGGGTGCACGGAAATAAGTATATTCAAGTAAGTTGTGAAAGCCGTTTTTATAGTGATGATGATGATAATGCATTGGTTTTATACACCGCAGTTTTGGACACTCAAAGACCCTTCATATGGCCTTATTCAGTACTCTGTGGCAGACTGACAGAACTGAGGCAACTAGTATGTGCCATATGTGTCTTGCCTTCAGAGTCAACTGTGGCATCTGTTATTCCCAGAGGTCTCCCATCATAGCACTAACCAGACCCACCCTTCTTAGCTTCAGAGATCTTGCTTTCACATCCAGGTGGTGGGACAAACAGAATGATTAAGTTTTATGATATGAAAGCACAGTTTGGAATACTTACCAGTGCCAGCCCCAATCTTTTAGAGGGCCCAAGCCAAAATTCCTTTCAGGGGCCCCTCACCCCAGCACTACCATTTGGGCAAAACTATTACCAGGCGTAATTATTACACATGGTGCAATACAGCTGTAATCTCAACCAACATCAAACAGACATTATTTTTCCATATTTTCTGGTTAATTTGAATGTCTGACATAGCAAGCACATTTGGTCCTTATTTCCAATTCAGGTGCCACTCTTGGGGACCCATGGGTGTGTTGGGTCTGTCAAGATAGCAAAGCGCTAATAGCAGCAGTAGAGGGCATGGAGTTTTTTGGGTTTTTTTCTATAAATTCATGCTGGAATGCCTGCATCGTAGTTTTAGAGAGAGCAGTGGTCAGATACTGGTGGGAGTGGACAGACTGGATTGTCAGGGAGATTGTGGCTTGAATGCAGGCAAATAAAAATGACTTTCTAAGATTACTCAAATATGTCCAAACTTGCCTTTTTTTAAACTTCATAGATAAATACCTCCCCGACTTTCTCTGAATATTCTAGACATGCCACAGAGTAAAGATCTTACGATGAACAATATTTTGAATAATGTCTGAATGTGCACTAAAGAACCACATGATCCACTTTGTCCCAGACCCTCGTGCTGCTAACATGTACAGATGTAAGCATTATTTCTAATAATATATTTTATAATTGTTTCTCTAATAGGCTAAATCACAGATGTTATATTTAATTCTTAATTGGGCTAGAGTTATAGATTGTATTTTATTTGTATTTATCTTTAATGTTTTGCAACTTTACAATAAACAGTAGATAGATTCCTTCCAATACCAATTCTCTCACATATCCCTCTACATTTTTCTTCCAGGTTGCGGTGATGCACGACTTGGAGGTTCTGTCTGTGTCTGTGGCCTGCGTCACGTCCCTCAGTAACCCCATCATCTACGCCGCCGTCAACCCACAGTTTCGGTCCGAGTTTTATCGACTCCGAAACAAAATTCAAACCATGTATAAAGCTCAGTCCTGATGTTGACATTACACTAAAACAAACACTACAGATCTGTTTTATCAGTAGTAAATATTGTGGTTGCTAAGGGCTGGAAAATTGCCGGTAAATTTTCATGGAAATTGTGGACGGGGAATTTTGAAAACATTCAATAACTGGAAATAAATTGTATTATGTTATTAATTCAATTCATATCCAAGATTTTCAAAAGATGTGTTTGTAAGTAGAACAAGTTCCCCATAATATCATCAAATCTTCCTTTATGTGAGCCTGTGGACTAAATCCTTTTAATTCCCCTAAAATCCCATTATTCCCAAGGAAAGTTTTCATCTTTGAACATTCCCAGAATTTGCAACACTAGTAAATATAGAAACTGTCAGTGTATACCTCCAGATAGACTTTTGTAATCCTGAGATAAGGCAGAGAAGAGAGCAGTGTCTATAGTCCCTGCAGAGACACCACATGCTGCTCTCTCCATCATCTCAGCAGGAGGAGGTGACGCCATCCACAGCCCAAACAAGTGCACATAACCCACACCCCCCAGAGACCCCACCACGGCCCCCACCATGGCACACTCAGGTTCACACACGTCCATGGAGCAGTCAGAGAGTCACTTTGATGTCAGTCAGAGAGTCACTTTGATGTCACATGTTCTGGATGGTCTAATAAAAGAATCCTGCTGAGCAAATTCATAAGGCCTTCTTATTTTTTTTCAAACTTTTGCCAAATTGGGCTTGCAGGTACCACTGTTGCATTTACCTAATTTGGTTTTGGATTTTTCTTTTCTTTTGGAGAATGTTGGCTCTTGGATGGATCTGATCTGGTCATTCCCCAAGAGGTGAGGGGGGATATAGACTGAGGGGTAAATCCAGAGCTTTGCCTTTGGACTCTGCTCCCTCACCGGGCGGCACGGTGGCTGAGTGGATAGCACTCTCGCCTCTCAGCAAGAAGGTCCTGGGTTCGAATCCCGGTTGGACCAGGGCCTTTCTGAGTGGAGTTTGCATGTTCTCCCCGTGTCTGCGTAGGTTTCCTCCGGGTGCTCCGGTTTCCCCTACCACTAAAAATATGTACAATAGGTCTGGCATGTGCCTCCTGTACTGGCACCCCCACTCCCAAAAATCACAATTGTAAACCGCTTTGAGACTCCGATCTGCAGTGAAAAGGCGGTATATAAATAAAGATTACTTACTTACTTACTACTCTTCACCACCGCTAGCGTGTGGACAGCAGCGGTGAGAATGGACATTGACATTTAATAACCATTTTAATGATTTATAATTTTACTGATAACTAATATACCTTTTTAAAATAACTAAGTAATCATTATTATGCGGCGCAAGTCAGAGAACAAGGCCACACAAAGCGCTGTACACTTTTTGGTTTTGTTGTGCCGGTAATTCCACATACAGTGATGACAGAAGCAAGAATAAAGCTTACTTACTTACTAAAACACCAAACACACATGCGTGCACAGAGGGCCCAGACCATAATTGTCCGTTCACGCACACATTACATTCAGACCAGTGGTATAGGGGAAACCCACACAGACACAGGGAGAACATGCAAACTCCACACCTAAAGGCCCCGTTTGGAGCTGGAATTGAACCCATGACCTTTTTTCTGTGACGCACAAGGGTAAAGGCACAGTTTAAGAATGATATTTGTACTGTCACTTCAATGGTCTGTATTATCATGTAAATGAATAAATATTATTATATATATTATTGTAGCCCCTTCTATTGGTACAACCACCACAAGTCTTGATTCTCGGTTTCGTAAAGTCCGAGATAACTACAGTTGTGATTTAGGGACATACAAGAATAAGTTGAATTGAATTGATTAAGATTTTCTGGAAGAGAACACATCATTTGAATTAATATAGTCCAATCAGGAAGCTTTGGGAGAGAACGAGGGTGGTAAAAGTAACTTTAACCCTTTAATGGTTTTTTCAACCGTTTGGTGGATCACTTTTTGGGGTCATTATATCTACTTGAAGCTTGGAACAGAAATCTACTTCTTTGGGGCATCACTATCACTTGGATTTATGCACTTTTACCATCAAACTGCACCTCAACCATTGGATATGGGCCGATTAAAAAAATACGGGTAAAAAAAATATCTTTCTTCAAGGAGTAAACATTGAAGGGTTAAGTCAAATACATATCATTAATCTGCGACCCCTCCTCCGTCCCACTGTAACCCCCTCCTACAAAGAAAGACATGGATCATTGTTGGATGTTCATTAGAGCTACAGTATTTATTCTATCCACTGCACCAAATGCACAATGTGATAAATTCCAACCCTTTATTTTACCGTCTTCAACTGTAAATCATCACAAGATTTCCTTCAAATTGTTCAAAGCGCTAACATCCGAGTCTTGTTTTCGTCATTCCTCATTTTTCATCAATTTTTAAAGGACAAAGCTCAAAACAGGAAGCAGAGACATACTTTTAAGAAGAAAAACTCAATTCCGTAATGACAGCATGCAAAGGCTTATTTCAACCAGTTAACACACGTAAACAGTATGCCAACTAAATCTAGAACGGAAAGTATACCCAACTTCCAAATGCAGGAGATGTCTTTCCAAACAGAGATATTTACAAGAATGAAAAATGTACAAAATGGCATTTTTAACACAGTGTCTCACGGGAGAATGCTTTGATTTTCATATCTTTTTCCAACATTTATTTGTATATTCGACTTTTCTACCCAACTATGACGGCAAATACCCTGTTTATTTCTTAATCGTTTAAATTCATGGATGCGGCGTAGACCCAAGATGGCGTTAAGCTAACACATATAATTGCATTTTTAAACTTTCACTTTGAACATTTCACAAACATGTCAGGATGCGTGGAAGTTTCTTAACTCGGCGAGCGGTCCATGGAGCGGTCACGAAACGGTGATTCATTCCAGGTAATGTGATGTATTACGGAATTTTACACGAGAAAACCGCTTTTTTGTGGCTCTTTCAAAACGCATGTAGCAAACTGGCTGGTAAATTCCTAAATATAGACACATATTATTCACAATAAGATGGCAATGAGTGTGCTTTGTCGACACGGGCCGTTTTTTGTAAGTGACCCCGAAATATCCACCCTCCTTCTTTGAGATGACAAAAACATTACATATTCAAAAAAATAAAGTTTTTCTCAGTATTTTTAGGCAACACAGATATTTAGACGATCCCAAAAAAACGTTCTGCTGTGCTTTTAAAGGAGCTGCTGGTTGCTTTTCCTTCCCCAAAGTCCATACATCAAGTAGATACCATGCAGAGTTGACATCAGATGAAGAGTTGTCTTAGATTATAATCTGCGATAATCTAGTCTCTGGAGTATGGCAGGTTGATGCTTGAGTGTGGTCCCCTCTCCTTACAGCAGTTTTGGTGCTTCCACGACAAAGACCAGGTGGCTGATAGGCAGATAGGCTAAAAACATGACATCTACAAGGCTGATACTCGCACTATGTTGCTCTGGGAGTACACGGTGGCGGTGGAGCTGCTGGACCCGCCCCCTTCTGAGGATGTCACCACGGGGGCTTGCAGGCTGACCATGGCGGGCGAGATGTACGGGTCGTCACATTTCAAGGGCATCGTCTCGTCCAGTTTGGCGTTTAGGCTGGCGCGGCTGTGTGGGGGGGAGAGGAGAGAATAGTGTGTCAGATTAATGTGGCCACGATCCACAAACATGGATCATCATTCATGTGGGGGAAATGTTAGGAAATATAGTTTGTTATTGATAAGAATACATAGTTTTATTATTGATTTTTGTCAAGCGAGGCACAGACAAAGATGAGTGGAGAAAAAAAATCAATAATATTACCACTATATACAGTAACAACACAATTGTATCTATTAAACCGACACTGTGAAAATTGTTTGGAGGACCTGCTCGTCTCTACGGCAATGTCAACCTTATTTATTTCACAAAATCTAAAATATGATACCTGTGTAATCAGCTATATTACAATGATAATTACACTTTTGTCTCTTTTTTAGAACCTTCTAAGCCTTATATATCAGAATGGACCAGTAACAATTCTAGGCATTATATATTCATTACTTACCGAGAAATATTGGATTAAAAACCTTAAATCCATAATAAGTAAATTCAAATGGTTTAGAATGGTAAGGAGATTTAGATGCATCATAAACTAACTTTAAAACCGCAAAAACTGAACCATATAATAAACTAAATCTAATTTGTCACTTTTAAAAGAGTTTAGCTATTACCGTACACTGTCTGCTTGGGTTTTGGTCTTGGTCTACAGAGGCTTGGGCAAACCTCTGTTCCTACTGCTCCTGATGCTCTAGGTGGACTAACAGCAGGTATTTAGTACAAGGAAAGTTGTGTTCCCCAGCTTTAATGCATGACCAACATGATGTCTCTCAGCTGGCCCCCGGATGAGCTGGAGGAGATGTGTGTAGAAGTCTAGGCGTTTCTGCTTAGACGGCTGCCTCTGCGACCGGCAATAGATAAAGCGGAAGAAAATGGAGGGATGGATGGAACCAATCTGGTAGTTCACATGTCCACTATTAAGTAAGTAAATAATCTTTATTTTTACATAGCGCCTCTCACAGTCACAAAGCCACGTTTTTAGTGATGGAGAAACCGGAGCACCCGGAGTAAACCTACGCAGACACAAGGAGATCATACAAACTCCACCCTGTTCCGACCGGGATTTGAACCCAGGACCTAATTGCTGAGAGAAGTGGAAGTGGCAAGGCAAGGCAAGGCATGTTTATTTGTATAGCACAATTCATACACAAGGCAACTCAAAGTGCTGAACAAGATAGCATTAAAATCATAAATAATCACAGAACATTAAAAAGAAAGATAAAAATATAAAATCCCTCAGTTGCATGCACAGCTGAACAGCACAGTTTTTAACTTGGTTTTAAACATAGTCAGAGAGGAGGCCTGTCTCACATCTTCAGGAAGAATGTTCCAGATTTTAGCAGCATGAATCTGAAAAGCCTCCCCATGTTTAGTTCTGACTCTGGGCACTAACAGGAGTCCAGTCCCTGTGCTCCTCAGAGTCCGGGCTGGTTCATATGGGACTAACATGTCACTAATATATTTTGGTGCGAGGCTATGGAGAGACTTGTACACAAGCAGGGCTGTTTTAAAGTCTATTCTCTGAGCCACAGGAAGCCAGTGCAGACCCCTCAGCCAGCGCCCACTGGTCCCATGTCTTAACAGCAAAGCAACAGCCTGTTCCGTCAAAAGAGCTGAGAGCATGTTTTATCTGAGCCTGATATAACATGTTACAGAAGTGATTATTTTCCCTTCAGTGAGCGACGTCTCAGCCGCCACAGAACGTTACTGAAAATGAACAAACTTAATCATTTTGACATTCATTTTCACTGCTGACACCACAAAAAATATACACAAAAGCCCAGAATGCGGCACTCTTAGTTAATGGCTTTCTTCACAGCTCACTACACAGCGGCGCAGCACTGTATAAGAACTGTATGTGGAAAACCGTGTCAGAAGGTCAAGTCATTTAGGAAATATATATGCTCCACAGGACGACTTTTAATTTGGCCCTGTCACAGACTCTAACATACAGACCCAACATAGATTTTAATCACGCCGCAATTATCAAGAAACAAAACTCACCGATGCGCTCAGCTTGTCACACTTAACTTTTTTGCTGTTGTGCTAATTGCTTTTCCCTCCTCAACATAATACTGCGATTTATCAGTTTGAGAAATGCAAAAGACTGCAGGAGGACGGTCAGCGGGGTGTGTACGCTCATATTTACGATAAGGATAATTCAGCAGTGGTAAAGAGGGGACACCATACATAATTTCAGTCATTCAAGTCGGTGAATTTGTATGATTTATCCAAATGTATGTAGTATGATGTACTTTTTGTATCTTTAAAAACTGAAATATTGATTATGTCTTTATCATACAAGATAGGGGAAGGTGGGGAAATAATCCTCTCTTTTTCACTTTTCTGTCTGAAAAAGCTGATCTAAAGTTGTGACGGAGGCCAAAAAGTACACACTTGTAAAAACTAGTGATTAAACCAAATTGTTTTGACAGAGAGAAACTAGTTACGTTTTAACTGATTTTAATACGTAGCTCAATTTATGGTTTGAAAGTTAGGTACCTCAGCTTTAAATCATTTGTCGTTGCGGTAATTTTAGCTTTGCTTGTGGCGACCGCTGCTTCCCATTCTCTGGTTGATGTATGCAGAATCTGCTGGGTTAACACTTTCCTCATATGTGCATTTGTTCCGTAACAGGGGCAGACATGTTGCTTTTACGGTTGCAAAGGCAAGCAGGAAATTCCCCTGAGAAAAACATTGAAAGTTGTTGGTTTTGTGACTTTGGGGTTTGGCAACGTCACTGTCAGAGAACAAAGAGCTGTAAACAAGGTGCTCGTTATGAATCCAGACTCATTGAATAATCAAGGACTCTTCTGGCCCTAAAAAATCCAAGTTCCAGCTTCTTCCCTCTGGCAGAAGATATCGTGCACTTGTATTGAAACTGTTTTGTTGATTGGTTTCACAGTGACAATTGTTTCTTGTACTGTTTTAGCTTGCTTTATTTATATACTGGTGCACACTGGTTGACCTTTTGCCAGTGATGGGCAAGCTACTTGATTTGTGTAGTGAGCTAAGCTACAAGCTACTCTACAATAAATTCAGCTTCACTACACAGAAGCTACCACCCATACAAATGTAGCAAGCTAAGTTACAAAATTCTGTCAAAAGTAGCTTGCTATATAGAAGCTATTTTCAATTAAACAAACTGCAGTTCATGCAATTTTATATTTTCCTGCATTAACATGTTTGCTCATTTCTTATTTTTTGCACAATTCTTGAGTGTTTTATCCATGCCAAATGTGACATGTAAATTTCTCCTGTGTGAGATTAATAAAGCTTATCTTCTTATTTGAGATAAACTGTCAGTCAGATAAAGGTTAACATTTTGTAGATATTTATTGAACAATAGCCCAAAACACCAAAAACAACAAAGAGTAGGCATCTGAAAACATATTTCTTTTCGCTCATCTCGACTAGAGTGACGTACTTTTGGAGGTATGGCCACGGTACAACACTTTGAGAGTCCTTATCATGGTCCTCCTCCACCGCGGCGGCTCCTGGGCTCTCTGCCATGCTTTTGCTTCGCCCAGTAGCGCGCGCGCATGTGTGTGCGTGTGCGTGCGCGCGTACGTTCGTGTGTGTGTGTCGTTACCAAGCCCTGCGCATGCGCATCAGCATTCTGTCTTTCTTATATGTTTGTGTTATGCTGCGGGAAAATGCTGCAATAGATGAACATCAGAGATGTCCGTGAGAAAATAGCTTTGGCGGACGCTACCGCGCTACTTGAGCAATAATATAGCTTAGCTACAGAAAAGTTACTAGGTTTTGTAAATAGTGACGCTACTGTCAAGCTACTGAAAAATGTAGTTAAGCTAGTAGCGACGCTACTTGTAGCGACGCTACTGCCCATCACTGCCTTTTGCACACGTATTCCAATGTGGTTTTACTGCATATGACAAAGATATTTTATCTGAACCTAAATTAAGGCATTCAGTGGCTAAGTTGGTAGAGCATTGGCTTGTGGGCCTGAAGGTTGTGGGTTTGATCGCCCCATGGGACCAAATCCAACGGCTCCCGCTCGTTGTGTCCTTGGGCAAGACACTTAACCCCACGTTGCCCAAAGTTCCTGCTGAAAGACCAAGGCTGTGTCACAGTTAATGGAGAAGCCATCTTCCTGTGGACCCACCACCTGCTGGAGGATCAGCGAGGGACTGGTGTTATGAGCATTGGGTGGGCTCTCATTGCCACCCAGAAATGGATTAGTAAAGGGGAAAATGAATGAATGAATGAAGGCATCTGATTTGTCACACCTTATATGGTTCTGGATCCATAGACCATATCACTATAAAAACACCAGGATCATAGAGAGCACTAAGCCAGAGACTTTTTTAAAGTCCAAAATGTGAGGAATTTTGACAACATTTGACACAAACGGTTACTGAGCTGGAGGACTTTACTTATACATATAAGTCAATAGGAGCCAGAGAGTCCATGAGCACTTCCCTATTGGGCTTCATTGAGCTAACAGGTTATCCATCTTTATATAGCCTATAATTGGAACAACCTTAATTCAGCTAAAACATGTATGAGGGTTTTAAGCGTGGCACACTGAGAGCCTTGAAATATTGATGGTCGGACATTTTGAATAGAGAAAAACTGACCTAAAAAGCAATTAAGTTAGATACTAATCAACTTACGATCTATTATTTCACACCGACGCTTTCAAATGCTATTTCCACCTTGACAACAACACATTCAGCAATCTTGAGTTCACAGCAGTAATGAGGGAATGTGTTGGCACAGTTCTGAGGCTGAAATTATATTGTAGTTAAATCTTTTTTTATATCTATGTTATCTGCAGCTTGTTCGTAAGTCTGCTGCTTTTCACACACTGTCATTTACGTACAGAAACAGCAGGATGGGGAAAGGCGTATGTGAGACGGAAATAAAGAATGTATGAAGGGAGCGTTTTTAATTGTGGTGTTGTAGACATAAAAACCTTGACACTTTTTGTATCTTTTCAAAGGAATCGGGGCTAGCTACATGAGCAGGGGTGGGCAATTATTTTCTTCAAGAGGCCACATTGGGATATAGCTCTTAAAAATATATATTTATTTGTTTAACAAACATTAAGGAATCCAGTGTTTTCTCTTTTTTTGTGATATTTTATTTAAAGCAAATTATTACTAATAATCATGAATGAGAACAAAAAAAATGTATAACATGCCATTGTAGCACATGTTAATGTCAGGATGTGAGTGCAGGGTAGATGCGGTTTTAGATCATTGCATGTTTTGTTTACATTTTCTTTTGCATGTTGCATGTGTTTAGTGCATGTTTTGCTTTTATCAACATTTTGAGTGCACCCCTGCACAAATGGACTGCTCCGCATTTTTAACCAATCAGAAACTTTCCCCAGTGGTGTGGTGTGACGGAATGATTGTTAAGAGGCAGGGCCAGGAAGCAGAGTCAGTGTCACCGGTGCGCGTGTGGACCGTGGACACTGGATTAGACTGACACCAGACCCCCCAGCACCAGCGGGGAACTAAAGGTTGACAGAGCGCTGTGCAGTGGAGCCGTGCAGAGGGGCCGTGCAGAGGGGCCGTGCAGAGGGGCCGTGCAGAGGGGCCGTGCAGTGGAGCCGTGCAGTGGAGCCGTGCAGTGGAGCCGGCTGATACGCCTGAAAAACAGCTAAGTGAAGGGACGTCTGCACGTGGGCTTCTGCATCGCAGAACTTGCTGATTTTAACTATTTGTGCATACACCAATTTTAGCCCTCTCCCCGCAGCTCCCTGGCCTGGTGGAGGTGACGGGACTTTTAGCATGGCTATCGGCATCGGACCTTTCCTTTCTTTTTAGATACATTTTATAACTGACTTTTATCTTTTTCTTTCAACTTGTACACAATAAAACTGTTCATTTTTTCCTATTTTGTGAGTTGTGTTGTATGGCCCGGGCTTGATTTTATACAGTTGCTATTAAACTGTGACATTAAGTTACACGCCTTCATTGAGTGCTCACTCCTGATTTATTCTAAAAAGCAAAAGATCGGTTTGGTTAGGCAGGGAAGGTCCGGGGGGCACAGAGAATCAGGCCAGATGTGGCCCCCGGGCCGCAGTTTGACCAGGTCTGCACAATACCCATGTTGATGGGACTTTAGGTTATGGAGCAAAATAATACAGTCATGTAAAAATCAACCTGTTGATTCAACAACATCAAATTCATTTCAGAAAGCAGATTTCATAGATGAATGGTTCTATCGCTAGTTTTCACGTGCACATATTTTTGGCGTCTGTCACATCTTTGGATCAGCTTTTTCAGAAAACTGATTTACAGCGCACTTTCAGAGAGGTAAAATAAGGTTTACTAATGCAATAAAAGCAGAAGTCTTTTTGTAAAACAGCTGCAGTAAAATCAAACCGCTGCAAGAACCAGCTCTGTTTGTGTTCAAGTCTCTCCATGGCCTCGCACTAAAGTACATCTGTGCCTCCTGCCAACTCCTGCTCCAGAGTCAGGACGAGACATGAGGAGGCACCTAACATGTACCTATGTACCTAACATGTACCTATGCACCTAACATGTACCTATGCACCTAACATGTACCTAACATGTACCTATGCACCTAACATGTACCTAACATGTACCTATGCACCTAACATGTACCTAACATGTACCTATGCACCTAACATGTACCTAACATGTACCTAACATGCACCTAACATGTACCTAACATGTACCTATGCACCTAACATGTACCTATGCACCTAACATGTACCTCTGCACCTAACATGTACCTAACATGTACCTATGCACCTAACATGTACCTCTGCACCTAACATGCACCTATGCACCTAACATGTACCTATGCACCTAACATGTACCTATGCACCTAACATGTACCTATGCACCTAACATGTACCTATGCACCTAACATGTACCTAACATGTACCTATGCACCTAACATGTACCTCTGCACCTAACATGTACCTCTGCACCTAACATGTACCTCTGCACCTAACATGCACCTAACATGTACCTAACATGTACCTATGCACCTAACATGTACCTATGCACCTAACATGTACCTAACATGTACCTATGCACCTAACATGTACCTAACATGCACCTATGCACCTAACATGTACCTATGCACCTAACATGTACCTAACATGCACCTATGCACCTAACATGTACCTATGCACCTAACATGTACCTCTGCACCTAACATGCACCTATGCACCTAACATGTACCTAACATGTACCTATGCACCTAACATGTACCTATGCACCTAACATGTACCTCTGCACCTAACATGCACCTATGCACCTAACATGTACCTATGCACCTAACATGTACCTATGCACCTAACATGTACCTATGCACCTAACATGTACCTAACATGTACCTATGCACCTAACATGTACCTATGCACCTAACATGTACCTATGCACCTAACATGTACCTAACATGTACCTATGCACCTAACATGTACCTCTGCACCTAACATGTACCTCTGCACCTAACACGTACCTCTGCACCTAACATGCACCTATGCACCTAACATGTACCTATGCACCTAACATGTACCTATGCACCTAACATGTACCTATGCACCTAACATGTACCTCTGCACCTAACATGTACCTTTGCACCTAACATGTACCTATGCACCTAACATGTACCTATGCACCTAACATGTACCTCTGCACCTAACATGTACCTTTGCACCTAACATGTACCTATGCACCTAACATGTACCTATGCACCTAACATGTACCTATGCACCTAACATGTACCTATGCACCTAACATGTACCTATGCACAAAACATGTACCTATGCACAAAACATGTACCTATGCACAAAACATGTACCTATGCACAAAACATGTACCTATGCACAAAACATGTACCTATGCACAAAACATGTACCTTTGCACCTAACATGTACCTATGCACCTAACATGTACCTATGCACCTAACATGTACCTATGCACAAAACATGTACCTATGCACAAAACATGTACCCATGCACCTAACATGTACCCATGCACCTAACAGAAGTGAGATAGACCGCAACCCAAGCTATATTCAAGTCTTTTTAGCCGTGCCTATGACTGATCATCATCAGGGATCATCAGGGGTGATCTTATACTGTGTTTTTTAATTTATTTTTTATGCTGTGTATTTGTTGACTGTTGGTTTTAAATGTCAATGTTGAAGCACTTTTGGTTGGATTCAGCTGTTCTTTAGAAATTAACTTTGATTGATTGACTGACTTTTACACGATTTGATCTGATGGGACAAACACATTCTTGAATAATAATTGGAATATTAAATTAAACTCCCAGAGCAGTTACCATGGCAACACATTGTTTACTGTCACCGGTGAGCATTCGGTAACTTTTCAACACACTATTTATTGCTTTTATATTCACCAGTTTTAGCACTTATTAAAAGTGAGTAAAGGTAAAGAACTTTGTAGATTACCTACTTTTAATAAAACTGGTGAAAAACTAAAAGTGTTTTTTTTTTCAGAATTCCATTGGTTTGAATGGGAGCAGTCAAAATGAATTCTAGTAGTGCTTGTGTTGTCTTTGTGTTGTTTTTTATCAGTGCATTTTCTGTGTTTGAACACTTTTTATTCTCTGCTCTATGTTGAAGAATCGACATCTTTGTACAGTCAAGATAACTACTGTTGTGATTTAGGGCTATACAAAAATACGTTGAACTGAATTGGACTGAAAATGAAATGAAATGTTGATAAATGTGCATTGTCCCAACTTAATGAATAAATAAATGAAATGAAAAGACACATCCGTCCTCCTCACCTGTTGGCCACGGGGCGCTCCCTGATCTGGATGGTGCTCAGCTCTTGGTTGTTGGTGCTGGGGAGGCTGAAGCTGCTCTTCTTGCGGTGTCTTCGGGAACAGCAGGAGCTCAGGCCGTGAGGAGACGAGGACAGGGAGGAAGAGCGCGAGGCCGACTTGTTCATCATACTGATCTCCATGCAGTTGGCCTGGAACGTCTGCTCGTCCACAAACTCGTGATTCTGCAGAGAGAGAGAGAGAGAGCGGCACAGTGCAGGTCAACATGGAGCAAGTTTGGGTAGATCAGTGGTTCTCAACTGGTGGGTCAGGGCGTGGGGTTTTTCATACACGGTTCTTTTGGATTATACATCGCACCAGCCAAAAATGGATAATAAAGAAGGAAAAAAAGTCGCAGTAAAGTATAAGTCGTATTTTTTGGGGAAGTCTAATTGACTTAATTGGGGTGACAGTAGCTCAGTTGGTAGAGCATTGGCCTTCAGGCCTGAAGGTCGTGGGTTCATTTCCCACCTCTACACCTTCTCCACCGACTCCCACTGATGACTGCTGTCGTTGTGTCCTTGGGCAAGACACTTAACCCCACTTTGCCCAAAGCCCCCACTGAAAGATCAAGGCTATGCTCACAGTCAGAGAGCAGCCGTCCTCCTGTGGACTCACCACCTGCAGAGGATCAGTGAGGGGCTGGTGCTATGAGACTTGGGTGGCATCTCTGACTGCCACCCCCCTGACCCAGAAATGGATTAAAGGGTAGAAAATGGATGGATGGATGGATGGTCTAATTGATCAAATCTAGCATCAGACATTTCCTCTTGAGTCATTTTCACTGTGATTTATCTGTAAGTTGCAGTTTTGATATAGAGTAGGAACAAAAATGTAAGTAATAAAAGAAATAGTCTACAACATAACAAAAGCGATAGTCCTAAATGGCACAATGGTATTCAGTACTGGGATACTGTAGCCCTTAATTCTTTGGGATCCTCTCAATAGCTTAATCGCTCAACTTAATAGCCCGGGCTCCAGAGTGGAAGGCAATCTATAACAAAAACTGCGACTTATAATATGAAAAATACAGTACCCAAGTTCAAATAGTAAGTTTTAAATTCACTTTAGAAGATCAGAATTCTATCATTGTAGCTTTAAAACTTACTATGGGGTGTAATTGTGTAAGTCTTAAACTGAGTAAGCCAACATTATTGTCAACCCTCACCAGATAAATGTAGAAAAGTGTTCATGAAAACGTATTTCTATGGAACAAATAAAAGTTAGAGCCATGCCTTATAGAAGTTAATGAGAGGCCCTGACAACTAAGATTTATAAAAAGATAAATAATGCACTTTCACAAATTTGTGGAAGCATAAATTCACTTGTCATCAGTTGAGTGACTCTAACAATATAATTACACACAAACCTGCACAAACACATGTTACATCATTTCAGTTGAACAGATTTTCTTGGGTTGGAGGTTGGTCAAAGCATTATTCCAATCCTCCATTTGTGAAAACATTATATACACACTAAAAAACATAATTAAATCTACTGACATTAGATAAACTACTTTCTAAAAAAAAATTGGTTTGGAGCTTTGTGGCTTTCTTAAAATAATTAGTAACAATCTACATGTTTACATGCTAGTAATTTCCATTCTTCTTTGAGTGGCTGCTCAGCGTTATGTTGGTGGGTCCTGACACAGTTCCAGATGAGAACCTCTGCTGTAAACGCTTATGAAGTGATTGGGTGACATTTTACATCGGACCAAATGATCGGACATGAACATCTACACTGTACAACTATTACTACCCTGCTCCTAATTTGAGTTCTAGCAATGCCATTTCATTATTTAAATCTTCTTTACAGTCCTCTACCACACACAAACACACATCTCATCATCACAATGTTGTACACAGTTATGGCCTGCTATTCTCACATCGTCAGCGCTCCCATGAATCACCCCGTTACATCAATAATGATAGGCTGTGCTAACTAATGAGTAAAGATGTTTCACAATGACGACTAAACAGAGGCTCCAGCAAAATTGCTTAATAATTTGTGGATGAATCATCAAGGGGATCGAAATATATGGGGCCAGATGTCCATATTAAGAGCCATCTGCAAAAACATTCACCACTGTTATCCCTGTGACAAATGGGCTTGACTTGAAGGTCAGGCTTCAATAGTGGCTGCAGTTGTCCAGCAGGGGGCAGGGCAGCACTGATTGAAGCGCATATAACTCTATCTGCAAACTGTATAAAGGGACATCATGTATACTCTGGTCTCTACAGTGAAGCCGTGAAGTCCTTATGGGGCTTTTCCCAAGGCACCAAGCTCCTACTGTGAGAGAGGATGAGCTATGATTTATCGCACGCTCCCGTATCAGCGCTGATCTGAGCTCCACTGTACAATTCCTGTCACATTAACTCTCTTTGCTCTAAATTATGGATAAGTTCAAATGAAGTGAGCTGGTTTGTTTGGAAGGATTAATGGTGCGGCCTGGCAGTGTCGTGTCTTCTTCAGCATGTTGCGTTGTGGAGTAGAATCAACCTTCTCTATAGCCCCATGTACAGCTATTTTTGAATAGTGCTGCAAAGAATAGAAACTGTTTGTGCATGAATGAAAGTCTGTGTCATAATGCTGTTCATGTTGATAAGCACAAGCTGCACAGTTAAGAGGTTCTTTATTCGTCCCACAGTGGGGAAATGTCAGTGTTGCATCAGTGACAGAGCAGTGGGAATGAGGAGCACACAGCACAAGATAAATGAATAATAACTCTGTACTAACTAAGATAAAATAAAAAATCTCTAAGCATGAAGAAGAAACAAGTATGAAATCTCTATCTTTAGCATAATGACTACAAAAAACGCTCTGACTTTAGCATAATAAAGAAGTATAAAATCTCTACCTTTGGCGTAATGAGAAGCAATAGTAGTCATTTGAATGTTTTTACCACATTCAACACTCTTAGGGCCACATTTATCAATCCAGGAGCAAAGTAAAATGGCATGTACCATTTCTCTGGTTTAGTTCTATGGGGCATGTGCGTGATAAATCAGTTTGCTCCAACTTCTAGGGATTTTAATCACTTTTGCACATGAGCCAACACTTGGCAAATGAGGCCCTTGGAGCATATTGAAGATATATTTAATTTCTTACCGTGGTCTTCTCCAGGCAGTGGAGCAAGTGATGGTGTTGGCTCTCTAAAGGCGGGGTGGGAGGCTTGACCGCCAGGCAGTGTGCAGCCTCTTTGCACGCCTTGAGAAACACAGAGAAATAAGTGTAGATGAGCAGGTCCAAGCATCAAACACACACGCTTTCAGGCAACAGCTCTGTGATGTCGTGAGGAGAAGGAGGCGAAGCATAAACAGTCGAGATGCAGATCTGTAGCACGGCAGCTAGTTTACTGAAACCCTAATGTTTTAACACACAACACGTCTGACAGTATAGTTGCCATTCTTCCATTCATTAAATGAGGAATACTGTAGATGAGGTCAAACTAAAGTGAACTTGGAGTCAATGCACAGCAGTGGCACACCTGCACACATGAAACACAGATTCAGACCACAACAACACTACACACTGATGGCTCTGCTCTGGTGAAGGATGTAGTGTTAGTTTGACCTAACCCTGGATGCTCTAGAACCATTCACATCAAAAACAGAGTTTAGAGGAGATGCAGTCCTGAAAGCCTTTGTGCGGCTCCTTCCCCTCCAAACCCTGTTGGACAGACATGCAGCTGCTCATGAGTCTCCCAAAGGCCCCTGTCCTGCTGGAATGCTCAGAGAAGAGTCGACATGTGATGTAAGAAAAGACGACCACAGATGATTGCAGCCCCTGGGTTACAGCATGGGAAGCCCCCTGCGGTCGGTGTGATGACATGGGCCCCGAGCACAGCGGCATGCAAGCGTCAGCGCGGCCCCGGTCAGCCAGCCCCAGCGCCGCCACGCCCCGTTACCTCCTCCAGTGAGTTGAACAGCAGCCCATTTTGTTTGTAGCGCATATAGGCATTAGTGCCTCGAATCTTCGCTGCGCGGATTTTAGCAAGCCGACTTTTCTGTTTGAACAAACAGATCTCTGTTTCAGCTATGACGCTTTGTCTGTCACTCTTGTTGGCTCTGTCTACCTCTGGAAACCACGGTGTTTAGCTGTGAGTGGCCAAAGTAAATCAATTATTGAGATTTGATGTCATAGCAAACACTTTAAGAAATAAATGCACATATTGCCATTGAAAAGCTGCTGACGCTGAAGTCTGAAGATCATTTGTTAACGTCATTGTCATTCCCGCTTTTATTTCTCTCCCACTGAAATACACTCAAGCAAGTTTCGCCCACCCGCACAGAGTGAGACAGAAACACAATACAAGATTTATATTCTGAGAGATAGTGTTTGCCCTGTCATTCTGTTACCAGCGGATAAGACAGCACCAAGAAGGAAAGGCAGATAAAAGCACAAAACAGGCCCATATAAGAAAAGCACAGGCAGACTTAGGACAGTACCCTCTGGGCTCGGCGCTTCTCGGCCCGCTGGCTCTGGTGGTAAATCCGGCTGAAGTTCGACACAATGACAGGGACGGGCAGCGCAATGACCAGCACCCCGCTCAGAGAGCAGATGGATCCAAACACCTTCCCCACGATGGTCTTTGGAACCATGTCGCCATACCTGAAACAAACAAACAAACAAACACATGCCCTTAGTCCTCGAAAACAACACAAGATGACGTGAACGCAGACAAAACAAGATGAAGCCTTGAGTTTTAAGCATTCTCGAGATTGTCCTAAAATAGCTGCATCATAACCTTGGATTATTTTGCAACTTCAAATGCAAAGTGGCACATTTGAAGTGGGTGAGAAATAAATAGAACTTGAGTGAAGTCTGACTCTGGCCTACTTTCCGCATGCCCTCATGATGCTCTCCTCAAAATGGTTTCATATATAATTACACACCTGTTGGCATGGGTGAGCGTGCTTGTGTTGTGACAGCGCACTACATTTCCCCAGTGACCTCAGTTAGGCAAACAGCTTGTGAGAGATCCAGGAGGAGGGTCGCGTTGGCTAAAAGCAAAGAGGAAACGCATGATCCTCACTCCAGGGAGAGCTTAGACGGTCCCACACACACACACACACATACACCTCTCTTTTGTTCTCCCAATGCCCTGACCGAGCAGACTAAATATTGAATGGACTTACTAACCCACATAACCTGTTATTGTGCACTATTGACGAGTAGTTCAACACAATTTAAAGCGTCCACTATGTAAAACAGTGCACACTGATTAATAGTAGTACATATCAGTGTCAGGTGGGGCTGAATCATGCCCATTAAAGAGATGGATGTGTCTGTCTCTGAGCACACACCAGTCAAGCTGCTCCGCTCTCACTATACCCACACTTACAAACATGCCGCAGCAGCGCATTGACATTTTACTGCCGCAACAAGTGGCAATTATCATTTTACATTAAGATATAATTAGGATTAGCGCTCCTCTACGGCAATTAGAAGCTTCCGCAACAGGGTTTACACTACAACTGTATATGTTTGTGTGTTTTCTCTGCTGCTTCGTGGAGACAGAAATAACCTGAGCGATGTCTGTACAGCAGGTAGAGCGTAGAGCGTAGACCGGAGGCTGCAGGTGGGAGATGGATGATCAGAACCTTAATGCGTAAATGACCTGAGAAGACCATTAGCAGCGGAGAGGAAGATGAATGCAGGTAGAACGGGACATCAACACTGCTCAGTGGCTGTGACAGCGGCGCGTCTCTCAGCTCAGCCAGCGTAATGTGGATGTATGGCGACACAGGAGGCTGACTATTTCATAAATGAAGTTGTCTAATGCCCACGGCCGTCTGCTTGAGTCATTAGCCGCAAGTTTCTGTCACATTGGGTCCAGCACTGGTCTGGGTCCAGTGATGTAAAAGTGGTCATTTTAATATCACGCCTGATGAGCCTCAGTGTACAACAGTTTGCTTTCAGTTAGAGTGATCTCGGAGTGATGTCATTACTTTCACAGTTCATTAGAGGGCAGGTCATTTTCCTTTGTAATTGCCAGCAAAGCCAGACAGCAGCAGGTGTCAATTATAGATCCAGGATGTAATGTTGAAAGCCTATTAAGAAATGCATAAGGAAAAGTGTGGGAAAATGATAGGACAGTGTGTCATCTTCGAGCCAATATCCCACATCAAATATGTATCTTCCTAAGGTTCGCTGAAAATGTGCAATATTAATGCACTATGAAAAACTTTGCATATTTTATTTTCCCTGTGTGCAGGAGGTTGAAAGAAGTTCTCCAGGTAAGGCATCCAGCAAGAAGTAAATCTACCCAATTAAAGTTGCAATTTCAAAAAGTCACGCATTTTTCATTTTCATTCAAGGAGGCTGAAAATAAATCCAACATATTCTGTACATAGCTCAATAAACAAGAAGCAATTACTATCAAAGGTCTGGTGGGAACATGATCCTCCTTTGGGACCCTGTCATCTGAAGAGACACACTTGATTTAATTGCCTCACAACTCTTTCCTTTTGAGTGCTTTCCCGTCACATACAATAAGACGCACAGGCACCACAGTTGATATTGCAAAAGTAAGACATTGGATTATACTGTACGCACGAAAGGGTCTGATATACAAACCTACGCCGTTATTTTATTAATATTAGAATCACACATCTGCAGCCTTTTTACGCCTCTACCCTCAATCATAATGCCACAAATTCTATCAGTAAAACTTCAACCAAGATAAGTAATATATGACTGCTTATTAAACTATTCCCCTAGGCTTCTTCTATATATATATTTTTTCTTTTTTACAAAACGCCGCAAAACTGCTCTTTTATTGCAATAGTTGGAAGGGTAATGTGTTGAGGAAGCAAAAGGAAAAAAAAGTCTGCAATGTGTGCAACAGCAACAATGCGCTCCTTCTCAAAGCAGAGGGAAGCAAAGCGCGCTCTGGAGAAATGCACATAACAGTGATGGATTGTTCATAAGGGAGAGGCTCCGAGACACAGGGCCCCCGAATGAAGGCTGCAGCCAGGAATTAACAGCAGCCGCAGAGATTAAAGTAATGTTCCTCCCTTTGTTCTTGTTGTTTGGCGTCGCAGGTATCCAAGTTTTGCAGCGCGGGCTCCTGACATGAGGGAGACACAAAGATAGATGAGCAGATTTTTATCCACCCCACAGAGGAGGAAAAGACATGTCGGGATGACTGAGTAGCAATTCTCCCCAATCCAGCAGCTTCACTTCAAACAGCAGTGTTAAATGGTGCCACGAGCGAGGCCCACCGCAGACAAGAAAGAGAGGGACACAGTAGAAAGGGGCTGTTTGAGAATCCCCCAAACGAGGACTTGAACGTGGCTTGTCTGGATGAGCTCGTTCTTGACCCAGAGTCGTCGTGAGCATCACCTGGAAGTGAAAGGTGCGAAAGGCCAGAATAATGTGTAATGTGATTCTGTTCCATTCAATAGTGTTCAAGATTACAATTTTAGATAAGAGTCATTAGTTTTGAAGAGGTGATCAAAGTCGATGCTTGTTCTGAGAGTCTGCGCTGATCGGAACTGGAAGCTACAAACTAATACGGAGGGAAAAGTTTCATATTTTTTTGACTAAAAGATGCCGGACTTAACTTTGAACCCACAAAATATAACCATCCATCCATCCATCCATCCATATTTCATTAAATCTGAGCCGTCAAAATGGCTTGGTTCAAACTTTTGCATTTGTTTTTCTACCTCTGTCACATCTTGAGATAATCATTTACAGCGAGAAAGAGGATCAGCCCCACTCAGCCAATCAGCTCTTAGTATGTAAAAGAAAAAAATGTTTTGCATAGGGTTGCAAAGGGGCTGAACATTTCCAGTAAATTTCTAAAAATGTTTCAGATACATTTCCAGTTAAGATGAGGAATCATGGAAATGTTCAATATCTGGGCATTAATAGTAATGTAGTTCAATTGTACCGTACAGTAGAAAAAATTCTGCCTTTGAGCCTTTGGACCAAGATAGATCTTCTCATATTTAGATATTTGAGACATCAGACTGCTTCTAGTGTATTTCTTTGGTAACAGGTACATGTAGGCTCTGCCCCAGGGTCAGGCCCGTCCTCAGACCGGATCTGAACCAGGCCCTTGTTGTAGAGAGAGAGAGTGAGTGGAAGCACGAGTGAACTTCCTTAAATGAAACGTTTCTTTGCATAAAATACTGTAATTTAGAATATGCATAACATAGAAGTAACAGGTGCAACTGAACAAGCAGCTTGAATATGCCAAGAGAAAAAAGGAAGTCGCTATTTCACACAAAATAAGTGTCTGAGGCTGCCTGTCAATAAATTAACCGAGGAGAACGTTGCCAAATTCAAAAACAGCCTGCAAACGTTGAAAATGAAGCAGATATTTTAAAAAAGCAAAACAAATTGAATCTACGCTCACACTTTTCACTAGACGAGGCAAAGTTTTTTTGGTTTAGCGCTGGGGGCTGACTTACTTCCAAACAAGAAGGCTGCTCCCTGGGGTTCTCTGCAGAGTTTGAAGATTCAAGACTCAAGATTCAAGATTCAATAATTTACTGTCTATGAAATCCCATTTTTGAGCATCATGGTGATAATAGAGCATATAAAGTGCAGAAGTTGGCAGGATGTAAACAGCACAGGGCTATAGGAGATACTGAAGGGGCGTCTGAGCCTGAAGGTCGTGGGTTCGAGGCCACCGCGAGACCTTCTACACCGACTCCACGATGTCTGCTGTTGTTGTGTCCTTGGGCAAGACACTTAACCCACTTTGCCTATAAGGAGCGTGGAAGTAATGTTCGCTGCATGCCTTGATGTGTATATGTGTGTATGTGTATTCATCAAACGTTCTTCTTCTTCCTCTTCTTCTTCTATATTAGCAGAATAGTGACAGGTTCTAAGTGAGTATGTTAGCTGCAAAAATGCACGACCAAATGCCCGATTCACAGATATGCAAGTTATCTGTAAAAGTGGAGGTAGCTCGGACTAGAAGATTGCACGAGGTAAAAAAAAATATGCCACACACCACAGCACCCACTCGCACTCACACCCATAGATTCTCAATTTAACACTTTTAATTTGTTTGTGTACTTTTTACGTTTGTCTACTTGTTGTTTATCTGTCAGTGGATGTAATATCTAACTCTTTATGTGCTGTTTTGAAAAAGTGGAGGACAATGGGGGTCCAGCATGGAGGTTGAGGAGAGGGCCAGTGTTCGTTCAGCAGTATGACACCCTGGGAATTTAGGTTGTTGGCCATTCCACACATGCCTGAACGAGATTCCTCTGAGCGCTGTAGTTTTCGTGACCAAGCTCAAATCTATGAGTCCCCGGCCACTGCTCCTGACAGGTCGCCCCATTTGGCATTGAGGGATGGGTCAACTGCAAGGACACATTCTCCTACAGGGACAAAGTGTACCTTCATCTCCGCTCACTCGAAAATGCTCTTTCTAGTCTGCCACGGACACCCTATATTCATCCTCCGCTGTGATGTCCTTCTTTCATCGCAAAAATGGTACAGAATCTACATAACTCACAATCACTTTGACTGAGCGACGCCCGTGTGAAGTGGGGAAAAAAAGCTTGTAATTTGACATCTAGTTAAAGCAATCCTCCTTCCTGAAAAAGCAATCGTTTTCCTTGATTGTCTTCCAGAACACAGTGTGTGAAATCTGACTGCCATCTGGTAAGTGTGAAGAGAGAGAGGAACAAACACGGCAGATATCTGGATGACTTCACACATACGTCATTTGTTTTTCTGTTCCCGGTCGGAGGGCAGGACAGTGTGTGGGCACATGAAGCACCGATTTTATTGTTTTCTGAAACTCACTTTGAATTAATACATCCCAGGATATGTTTCTCCTTTAACAGTCCTCCTCAGTTACAGTCATCTGAAACTCATTTTAAAATAATACATATCTATCTCTCTGGATATTAGGGTTGAATATGTATTTATATATAAAGCACTTTTTGGACGCTCAAAGATACTTCACATGTCATTATTATTTCAGTCCAAATCTGGTAGTGGGAAACAAATACTGGAGCCACAGCTGCCCTGGGGCACATTGGCAGTTGCGAGGTAACCAGTATGTGCCATCAACCTCTCCAACGACAACCAACCATTCACACACACCAGACTCATTCTGGGCCATGTGGGTGAAATGGGTGTCTCACATCACAGTGCTAACCAGTACCTACCCTGCTTAGCTTCAGAGGTCTGACAGGATCTGGCTTTCACATGCACAGTATGTTTCTGTCATAGTAACAGCTCCAGCCATTTTATTTTGTACTAAAGATAATATTTTACATTCTAAAACCTCAAATAACAAAGTAAAACTTGGTCACACATAACGCACATTCTGGTCTCCATGGCGATTACGTTTACATGTAAGTAAGGTTGCCAGGTTTGAAGATTGTTTTGTTATTG